ACGTTATTTCTCTCCTTCCTTCACTTTATTTAACACAACATTATTAGAAAACAGTTCAATAGCAGAAAAAACAACATGCCATCACCTAAATTGTCTTATAAGGTGTATAGACAGAGACCCTAAGCTACATCTATCTGTGACCTAAAATGCTTGGTCCAAGTTAAACAGCTTAAGGGCAATTCTCATCTGTTTTGTTTGATCTCATCTGTTAATATTTATTTTAAATGTAATTAAACATAGGCTCAAAATTGATCACTATTTCCAAAAATGACTGAAAAAATACCAAATAAAACAAAAGTAAATGAATGCCATCCTCCTTGCGATGATGCCCTGGGCAACTGCCATAAAGTCACATCAAGAAATGCTGCTGATCATTCCAATGATCCCAAATAGACTCACATTAGGCCACATGAAAGCAACTGAACCCAAAAATATATTAACCAGTATATAACTGCACTCTCACACAACACGCCTGCAGCAACAGTTAGGACTCCTCCCTCCCTTTTAAAAGCGTTTTTGCTTCTGAGGACATTGTGGTTGTAAAACCACATGCTAGTAGTCTGGCCCCGGTGTGATCAACCAGTTTCTGCGGGAATGTGACGGCGGAACCAGGGCCAGATTAACACTTTGTTGTACCCTGGGCAACAATATTCAAGGGCTCCATCATCACGACCCAAGGATCACCATAATGTGGTCACATACAGAATATTTTACTGTAATATGCAGTAAATATACTCAATACTTGAATGCTTGACAACACGTAACCCGCCCAGAGTAACCTTTGACCCACCTCGTGTGGACTGACCAATGAGGAGAGGGTCTTAACTTGAGGCCCTCTCTTCATTGGTCAGTCTGCATGAGACTGACTCTCAACTGACATTCAGTCGTAGGCAGCGAAGCGTCTCTGTGCAGCGCAAAAGCCCGGGTGGACAGTTTGTTTAATATAGGGTGATCATATTTCCATTTCCAAACAAGAGGACAGGGGATCTGTGCCTATGATGTCACACTATGGCAACGCCACACAAACCATGTTGGGACCCATTTTTTGTAAGAACTAAATTAATATCAGATTCTGCCAATTAAAGGGCTCTAAAACAATTCATATGTAAATATTTTGCATATTTAATGCAAAATCTAATTTTTCTGCTTTAGTGCTGCAACAAGGTTTTATTAATAATAAATTATTATACCTTTTGTTTTACTACAGCATCGGTAAGCTTCCTGTGCACAGATTATTAAGGATGCTTGTTTCAGCTGTGAGATTAGACGATAGGATCAATGAAAAAATAAGTTGTCACACACTCCATGGAAACTTTCAGAGAATCCACAAATAGCGGCTTTCAAATGGTTTTGTTACTTTTTGCAAGTTTTTAAAAGAAGCAGATGAGACAGCATGTCTGATAATTTAGTTTTTCATCTGATAATATTATAACTAATACTACTGGAGAGGGTATGAATTACACAGAGGCTTCTGGGGAGCCCAGTTATGGGGGGGGGGGGGGGGGGGTCATTTTGCCTTGGCCCCCAAAATGTCTTGAAACGGCCCTGGGTGTGTGACTGAGTTTTGAAGGTGATCTGAATTGTATCAGATGTATAAATATGACATGTGTATAACTTATTGTTTTTTACTGGTAAAAACGTGTAGTGGAGATAAATCTACCTACATTTGACTTTTCAACACTTTGTTTTGTTTTCTTGTTTTTATTTAACTATTTTCCTGTCCTGTCTGTCTCTCATTCCTGCATCTCCTCATAATTCTCCAGAAAATCTGTTGCCTGGATTCTTACCTTTTCACCTCATCAGTTACTTTTGAGCAGGTCAAAGGGATCTCCTGACCGAAAAGCGCAGAGCGCGTTTTCGATGCTGCGTGAGGTGAAATCACCACAGCACAGGTGATGAGCTCCGCAGTAGCGCGCTTCAGGCACAAATAAGACAGAAAATAGAGAACATGTGCGGACATGAACGATTGTGTGCTAATTATAGTTTTTTGGTTGCGCCACTTTGAGAATGGACCGTGCGCTGGAAGCAGCTGCCTGGATCGCTGCGCGACAATGCGGAACCGGTTCGCAGCAGCGCAAGTCTGCCGGCTCTCCCTCACGCTGATCTGCGGCTCTCCCTCACGCTGATCTGCCGGCTCTCCCTCGCGCTGATCTGCGGCTCTCCCTCGCGCTGATCTGACTTGATCTGGTCTGCGCGCAACGGCGGGCGGGAGGTGGGGGGGGGGGGGGGGGGGGGGGGCGCTTTTGGAAGAGTTGTGCGACACAACGAATCGATGACGCAATTCGTTGCCAACGCTTTTAGTAATCGATTTTCATCGAATTTATCGATTCGTTGTTGCAGCCCTAGTGTCCAAGCACATTAACAGACAGGCGAAGGGACGGAAAAAATGTGGTAGAAAAAAGTGTACAAGCTCTAGGGATAACCGCACCCTGCAGAGAATTGTGACGACAAACCCATTCAAAAATGTGGGGGAGATCCACAAAGAGTGGACTGCAGCTGGAGTCAGCGCTTCAAGAACCACCACGAGGAGACTCATGAAAGACATGGGATTCAGGTGTCGCATTCCGTGTGTCAAGCCACTCTTGAACAAGAAACAGCGCAAGAAGCGTCTCGCCTGGGCCAAGGACAAAAAGGACTGGACTGATGCTGAGTGGTCCAAAGTTATGTTTTCTGATGAAAGCAAGTTCTGCATTTCCTTTGGAAATCAAGGACCCAGAGTCTGGAGGAAGAGCGGAGAAGCACAGAATCCACGTTGCATGAGGTCCAGTGTAAAGTTTCCACCGTCAGTGATGGTGTGGGGTGCCATGTCATCTGCCGGTGTTGGCCCACTCTGTTTCCTGAGGTCCAGGGTCAATGCAGCCGTCTACCAGGAAGTTTTAGAGCACTTCATGCTTCCTGCTGCTGACCAACTTTATGGGGATGCAGACTTCACCTTTCAACAGGACTTGGCACCTGCACACAGTGCCAAAACCACCAGCACCTGGTTCAAGGACCATGGTATCCCTGTCCTTGATTGGCCCGCAAACTCGCCTGACCTTAACCCCATAGAAAATCTATGGGGTATTGTGAAGCGGAGGATGCAATACGCTAGACCCAACAATGCAGAGGAGCTGAAGACGACTATCAGAGCAACCTGGGCTCTCATAACACCTGAGCAGTGCCACAGACTGATCGAGTCCATGCCACGCCGCATTACTGCAGTTATTGAGGCAAAAGGAGCCCCGACTAAGTATTGAGTGCTATACATGCACATTCTTTTCATGTTCATTCTTTTCAGTTGGCCAACATTAGAGAAACAAACATTTTTTCATTGGCCTTTAGAATATTCTAATTTTCTGAGATACCAGATTTGATGTTTTCATTGGTTGTCACCTATAAATATCAAAATTAAACGTAATAAACATTGGAAATACATTGGTCTGTGTGCATTGCATGAATATAATGTACAAGTTTCACGTTTTGAATGGAATTACTGAAATATCTTCAACCTTTTGATGATATTCTAATTTACTGGCCAGCACCTGTATACAGGATGGTGGGGGCTTTTCATCCGCTTGTAGAGTTTAGTCTTTCTTAGTTTTACGATCATATATTTTTCTGTGCGCCACTTGATCGTGAGACCCATTAGCTTTAGCATTAGCCAATCTGCGTGTAGCTGCACTTTTGATCCCAAACTTTGGACCGGTTCTGCCTTTGCTGGTTCCTTTATTTTGCACCACTGCATCCAGATGACCACACTGTGCGCCAGTTAAAAGCTTTTTTCTTGCAAGTAACTTACTTTTGTTCAATAAAGTTTTGGGGGGAAATCGTAATTCAAAGATGTTGCACCAGTGCTACGTTTAAAAATAGACACACAGTGTTTTTCGTCGCACTGTACAGCCCTGCTCTGATATGGAAGAGCCTGGGGTAAAATCAGGACGTCAATAGCACCAACCATAGATATGTACCAACTAGCGAGAAAAGCTATTTTTGATATTTTTCTGCAGCGGTTTTAGCGTTTTTCGGTGCACCACTGCTGATACAGCGCTTGCGTAGTGGTGCAACGCTGCAACTGCAGTTAAAATAACATCCATATAGCTGGGGGCAGAGTGAAATCAGGCTGGGGCGGCACAAAAATAGCTGGAGGCGGCCGCCACGCAAATTTGAATGCAGGAAAAACCCTGCCCTTTGGGAAGATGAATCGGCTATATTCCGGATTATACAGCTATATCAGTTTATCTCCTGTTGGATGGAAGTCAGTTAAATAAGCTGCTCACTTAGAGATGAGTGTTAGTTCATCATATAAATATGCTTCAGGTTGTTTAATGTGTTAAATCAGCAGGAAGGTACCAGTAGGTTCCTACGATACTATTGTAGTATTACTATGTTATAACCTTTAGTCAGATAGTAATAATTAACATAACATGTTAGCTAACTCAGTGGACAGTCGTTTTGCTGTTACACTAAAAGTTCTGACAGTTCTTGTGAGAAGCAGAGGACATCATGTGGTCTGTGTCTTTCTCCTTCATCGTGGATGAGATGAAGAGGAGGGAATAAACTGACGTGAAGGAAGCAGCCAGAATGTTTATGAAGGACAGAGCTGGAGTTGAGAGAACCTCCCTCAGAGCAGAGATAGAAGCCGGTAACCGAGGCGAACGTTCCACATTAAACAGCTGGTTTCTCTACCAGCCATGGTGCAGCGCCACGCTTGAGCCTATGGGGGGAACACTGGGGAGTACAGATCACGCTCATCCACTTCAGGACCACAGGTTCCCCACAACAACAAAATGAATGCAAATCATTGCAGCTAAAAATGCTATTTTGTAATCCCGTTTTGTGCCGTGGATTTTACATATGATGTCCATGATTTTTAAAGACTCATTTTGGGCTCTTTTAGCCCACTGACTTGTATTCATTGTGACCCGTGAGCCGACCAGAAGGGGAGGGCCGAGTGTTCCGTGTTTGCGTTCAAAACCTAATCCCATAATGAACCATTCCAAGATTGTGGACTAACTTTTCAGGCACATGGGAGACCAAGGTGAGCAACAAGGGGAAACGTGAGCAACGCAAGAAGGACAAAGGTTCCAGCGACGGCTCGGCCAGCCCTGGAGGAGGGAACTCACCAGTGAGCACTCCCTCAGCACAGCCCAAAGCGTCGACTGCACCTCCCGCTCCTGCTCCCGCTCCTGCTCCTGCTCCTGCCAGCCAGAAGAAGAAAAAAGGTAGAACTCATGAGTAGGAAAGGATTTCTTTTCCAGCTGAACCTGGCATGTATACATGTTGTTTTGTCTCCTGATGACACGATGGACTATAAGTACACTAGGCACTAAAGAAATTAAATCTCAAGTGAGGTTTCCATGAAACCTTTAGCTTGTGTGTGTGATTAAATCTCAAGTGAGGTTTCCATGAAACCTTAAGCTTGTGTGTGTGTGTGTGTGTTGGGGGGGGGGGTTGTGGGCTGTCGCGGTTGAGGAATTCCCCCTGCGGTGATTCAGGGTGGCTTAATATTGCGGTGTGCGATATTATTGCAGCACTTTTTTTTATTGCAGTACTATCTAAACATAATGTTTACACATTTAAAAAAGGTTAAAAATTGCCGTGCCTTGTTTTATAACACTTTACTGAATGCAGATCAAAGGGCAGTAACAACACAGATCGCAGTAACGTTTGTTTCTCCGACAGTCGGAGTCCGACTGAACTTAAAAACAACAAAATTCAGGAGAAGGTTAAACTTTTAAATGCAAATTTGGCTGCAGCATCTAACAAATAAGAAACAAGTCCCCATTTTGTTTAGTTGTTTAAAATCAAGCATGAAAAATTACATGTACCGGGCGCGGGGCACTATCATTTCACTTTCACACACACGAATGACGGTGATTTATAGCTCGGTCACGTCCTTGTTACCCAGAACACAGTAGAAAAAAACAAGAAAATTTTAAATAGTTGGCTTCAAAGAGATCTGACAGTATTTGGAAGAACTCTTCTGACAAAGATGGAATCCATTTCTAGACTGATATACCTGCTCAATCATTGGCCATATCTCCTAAAATTATTAAAGAAATAAATAAGATGAATCTTGATTTTATATGGAAGAACAAAAATCACTACATTCGAAAAAGTGATTTAATTAAAAATTATGAAGATGGTGGTATAAAAGCAATAGATTTTGAAATTTTGAATGGAGTATTAAAAATTAAATGGTTTAAATCCTTCTTAATAAATAGAGGAAATTTGGCATACAATTCCGAAATTTATATTTGAAAAAGTTGGAGGAATGGAATTCCTATTGAGATGTGATTTTGAAATCCCGAAGTTGCCTCTCAAACTTTCTGAATTCCACAGACAAGTCCTCTTTTTTGGAAAAATGGTTTTCAAACATAACTTCAGCCCACATAATGTTCCGATATGGAATAATAGAACTATTTTGGATAGAACCAAAACCATATTTGTAAAAAGTTGGATGGACGGAGGAATTTGGTCAGTGACACATATTTTAGACGAAAATGGAAATATTCTTTCACTTAAGAACTTCAATCTCAAATATGACGTTGACATTGCTGAAAATGAATATAATAAGGTGATTAAAAATATCCCAAGTGCTCTGGTTCATCTAGTTAAAGCTTCTATCGGTTATATATTTAACCCTAGACTCAAAATATTAGCAGTTGATGGGATAGAAATTTTCAATAAAAAATGTAATAATATTTTCCTGAGAAACAAATTAAACAAAACCTTTTATCCAAACCCAATACTCCGATTCTCGTTACTACACAACTTTTCTAAAGAAGAAATTAAAGTTTTGAGAACTAACTATCTAAAATTCTCTTTACCCCCAAAGTATAAAGAAGTCCATTTTAAAACCTTGAATGATATTTACCCATCTAACCATTTTATACAAACTAGATTTAAGTTCAATGTGGAAAAATGTTACTTATGCAAACAAAACGATGAATCGACCAAACATCTTTTCTATGAATGTTATAAAATTTTAATGATGTGGAATTCACTCCAGGATTGGCTGAACTCCAATCAAATTTATATAAACAATTTCACAGTTGAAGATATCTTATTTGGCATTATACTAAAAGATAAAAATAATGAATTTCTAATTAATAATCTCATAATCATAACAAAATTTTTCATACACAAATGCAGATATCTCAAAAATCCACCTACGTGGAATAATCTCAAAAATGAAATTAAACTGCTGTCGAGATCCTTAGGTAAAATGTCCACCCCCAATGCGATAAAGCTTTATAAGCTCATTATTAACACTAATCTCTAACCGCTTTTTGGATGATATACACAATAGCCCTTGTTTGCTCTTTAACTTCCCCCTTGTAAAACTTTTATTTATATACACATATAATTTGTGTTTTCATGCTGTCTTACTTGTATCCTTTCATGTTCTATTTTTGTTTTGAATTTTTATTTTATCTTATTTTTTTATTTTTATTTTTATTTTTGTTTATTGTCTTCTTACTATACCAAGTTGAATTGTATCTACAAAATGCAAGTTGAGATGAACACTGACTTCGGAGCTACTCTGTAATGTCAATCTGCTAACAAATTTTGGAATGTAGTCGCTTTTGTTCGTTTTGCAAATGTTCAATAAAAGTTCTTAAAAAAAAATAAAATAAAAACGTCCTTGTTACCCAGAAGGAAAACCAGCATGTTAACCACATACGGTTTGAGAGAGGATCTGAGAGGGGTGGCAACATTTGCAGCAACACTGAAAACCCTCTCGGATGGTGCGCTCGTTGCACTAACGCACACGTACTTGCGTGCGACTCTGGCGAGCTAAGGGAATCTCTCCCGGTTGTTGCTCCACCATGTCAGGGGGGTTTCTTTAGAGTCGATGCATTCCTCCTGCAGGTAGCGAGTGAGCTCCAGCTCGGCTCAGACTCTCTTCGGGACGGTTGCAGAAGCAGTGCTTGTCCGGGACTTCAGCAGGTCTCCAAGTGTTTATTATTATTTTTTTGCCGCTGGTGGCAGCTCTGTCTCGGCCAAGGACTCTGGCTGCGCAGCAGCTGACGTACTGAAAACCAAAGTGCTCCCAAAGGAGCGAAGTAACGCTTCGTTTTGATACCAGTGCAGCCATCCTTCTCAACATGCATCATTGAGTTGAATCAAGTTCAGTAATCGCGGTGGCTCATGATGCAGCGCGGTGGGTTTCTTCATAATGCGATATTTCATTTTTGCGGTTACCGTGACAGCCCTAGTGTGTGTGTGTGTGTGTGTGTGTGTGTGTGTGTGTGTGTGTGTGTGCGTGCGTGCATGTGTGTGTGCGCGTGCGTGCGTGTCTCGTGGCATTTATTGACCTTTCATGTTCTCAAGAGAGTGCACATGTGAAGGCAGAGAAGCTTGGAGCTGTTTCTGCAGGTAATTAGCAGCAGAAATGGCCTCACCTTGTGTTTTATTACTTATTCAGGATTTAAACCTACAGTGGGAACAGCAGGCAGCTCTTTATCTTGATTTCTTTTTTTAATCGTGTCTGAGTTAAATTAGCTTCTTTTTCTTGACGTTAGCCAACAGCAGCGAAGCAGCTGAGGTGGCGGCTGCTACCACGGGCATGAGCATCAAAGTCGCTCCAAAGACAACTTCCTGGTCCACTCAGAGGCAACCGGCGCCACTTTTGAGGAGAGGGATTGATGGTAAGAATGAACATATCACCTTCTCACAGGGTCCGAAATTAGATTTTTTACTCACCGGCCAAGTTGGCTGGTAGATGATAAAAATCTACCGGCCAAGCATATTTTCTACCGGCCAAAATTCTAAATGATTTAGATCCACCTAAAGCATATTATTCTATATTATGTTGATTCCAAACAGAGTGACAAAATAATTAAAACATCAGTTAATAAGAAAAACAACTCTTTTGTCATTTTTACTATTAATTTATTTTTCGAGATGTTTTTATGAACTCTTTCATTGAAATCTAGTCAGACTCCTTGTTTTCTCTGTCCATGAAGTCTGGCCTCCTCCTTCTGACACTGTCATTGTGCCAAAGCATTACAGCCTCATTTGGGTCATAGTCCTTGATCTCTGGAGAACACAGCTGCACCATGGGAATATCTGAAAGTGTGTCAGGGCTAGGGTTGTCACAGTAACCGGTGTAGCAGTAAACCCCGGTAAAAAAGTAGACAGTAATAATAACCGTCTTGTTTTTAAAAAAAAAATTATCTCGGTGGATTACCGTGGCTGCGGTGTAGGCGCGGTGACCCTTACCAGCCACCGTATCATCTGGAAGTTGCCGGCGGCACATGCGCACTTTGTTGTTTACGACCAAAACTTTCTTTAAGCTAAAGCTGACATAATGGCAGGAGGAGACGGCAGCACTCGGGACATTTATTATCCCTCAAAGAAGACAAAGTCGGAAGTATGGGCATTTTTTGGATATTTGAAGAATGCCGAGGGACAGTTGTCTGTGAAAGGCAGCAACGCTACGTGACCATCATAATGCAGCCATTGTCTCACGACTCCGCCATCTCCAGTTCGCCACTTTTCACAAAATCTTCTGGTTGCCACTGGTCCTGGTGGTTTTTCTTCCAGTTTGACGAGTTTTCTTTTGGAAGGCTGGCTGACTCCAGTTAAAAACCGCCACATTTCACCGCTAGTTTTAACACGAAGCTAACTGCTAACTTGATAAACTGATTGAATGGGATAGGTGGAAATGACATTGGATGCGGCGCTCACGTTTGTGTACGTTGCATGCAGGCAGGAGGAGTATCAGAAATCAATGGAAGATGACTGATAAACATAACTAATTTGGTGCAAACATTTACTCGCTATGTGGCAGTGTTACACAGTGAAGTGTAGTGAGGACAAAAGAAACATGATGACTTGGTCGATAGACAAGGAAAACCAGTTTTATTTCCTCTGGTCCGAAAAACAAAATCAGAAAATCCCAGCACTATTCAAAATGGCCACCCATCCAACTCTCTTAGCAGTCTCTGTCACTTTCAGAGAGGAAAAACGACCCCTTTGCCACACCCAGCAGTCCACCTATATACTCTCCGACCCCCCCTCCAATTCAGGTTGGCCAATCACATCAGTCCACTCAGGCATTTCCTATATAAAGGCAGCATTAGAGGCGGGCTTCCTCTTTAGCTGCTTCAAAATGGCTGCCACAGAGGACACCTCCTGAGGGTAACAAACAAATTCATGTTACATAACAAATTACATTCTTGAATGAACACTCTTTGGTGTAAAGACATGTTGCTTCTCAACAGGCAGATAGAGCTAAAAAATTTACTCGCCAAATGGAGCAATTTGCTCGCATTTCGCGAGTGTTAATTTCGGACCCTGCCTTCTCATTAACTGATCGGTACTTGGAATCATTCAGTCTGGCTCTTATTTTGTATGAGGCTAGGCAGCATGCTATCCTGGCCAGCGGGGAACTCTCCTGCTCAGATAACCCCACTCTCTGAGAATTCCAACATTACAGCCTTCAGTACTGACCTACACCGACATTACGACCTTCGGTACTGACCTACACCGACATTACGACCTTCGGTACTGACCTACACCGACATTGCGGCCTTCGGTACTGACCTACACCGACATTACGGCCTTCGGTACTGACCTACACCGACAGTACGGCCTTCGGTACTGACCTACACGACATTACGGCCTTCGGTACTGACCTACATCGACAGTACGGCCTTCGGTACTGACGTACACCGACAGTACGGCCTTCGGTACTGACGTACACCGACAGTACGGCCTTCGGTACTGACCTACACCGACATTGCGGCCTTCGGTACTGACGTACACCGACATTGCGGCCTTCGGTACTGACGTACACCGACATTGCGGCCTTCGGTACTGACCTACACCGACATTGCGGCCTTCGGTACTGACCTACACCGACATTGCAGCCTTCGGTACTGACCTACACCGACATTGCGGCCTTCGGTACTGACCTACACCGGCATTGCGGCCTTCGGTACTACTAACACAGATAATACGGATTTCTGTACCGATATTACGGCTTTCGGTACCGATATTACGGCCTTCGGTACTGGCCGATATTGACTCCGATAAGACGTCAGCACAAATCATACAGACTTACCTGTTTCTTAGTGTGGAATGGATGAAAGGCTTGATCAAGTGATTTTACTCAATCGGAGAATAAGTCAGTAACAGGCCGTATTAAAAAAAATTACAATTTTTTTAACAGTTGGTTGCATAAATGTGAACCTTAATAATTATGTATAACAAATGAATATTGGTATACAGAATTTAAGTAAATAAGATAAATTTTTAAAGTACAAAATTCTAATTTAAGGTCACTCCAGTTATGATTTTACTGTCGGCAAATGGCGGGAACAGCTTAGGGCACGGACATAAGACAACAATACAAACTGCTACAAGTTTAATTCCCACACTGCTTAAGTCCTCATGCGGTGTTATGTGCGATGAGGTTGGACGTATAAAATGTTCCTGGTTCTGTTCCACCACGGGAAACACTGTCTTATGGACTTGAACAAAAATACTGCCACCCGGTTGACGTAGCTGCTTGCTACTTTGCTAGCACGCGCTGTTCTGATCAGTGGGATTTGCATGCTGGTTCTGGGCGCTGCTGCATAGAAATGCTGGTATGAAATTTACGGACCGCTGATATCGGAGCATTTTGATGCAGTCCAATATAATCTGATAGTGTTTTTGTGGGTCAATGTCGAATAACTCCTGATAACTATATCAGAATGGGACATCCCTAACTGGAATATGGGAGGGTCAGGCTTAGAAGTTGTAGCTACAGTCCAGACAGCTCTTGGACTGTAGCTGTCCTGAAGCCCAGTTACCTTCATTTGAACCCCTTTGGATTATCATGACCTGGATGACTGAGAAACTATGACAGCACATGCATCCTGTGGTGTTTCTTTTATGTAATGAGGGCAGAATGAGGGCAAAACACAACGACAGTCCAAGGTGCATGTCAAGAAACACAGCTCTAATTGCTCCAATTATGACCCACGCTGTTGCAACCAGCAATATTTCTGCATGGTTGTATTGTTAGGCATAAGCGCTTTATTCTCTGGACCTCTGGGCTTCCATAGCAGTTTATTTTGCCTTTAGAGCAAAGGTGGTCTGTCACTTTGTTCATTTATCTGATAAATCAGGTTCAAGATTAGTTTAATTAGTTGGTTTCTAAATGTGGTTTAAGGAAATATCTGAATGTTTCTAGTAATCTATTTAATGTAAATTAATATAAACATGATATTTGTTTGACATGTATACACACACACACCAAGGACAATAGTGTGGCTGAAACGGATCATCAGCTCCTGTGTTAGGAATAATGGAATCATTAGATAGCTGAGGGTTGATCTCTTTCTAGTCCCTCTAAAGGCCTTTATGAGTTAGTGTGTGTGTGTGTGTGTTTCAGACTCCTGGACCCTGATCTCCTCCTCAGACCTGGTTGTGGGCCCATTACCCAGACGGGGAGTTGGTTCTGCTCGTAAGTTAGTGGAAGAATCAACTGTAATATATTTTTACTAAAAGGGACTCTCCAGTAGGTGGAGCAGTTTCCCAAATATTATTTTTTGTTGTACTCAGAGTGTGTGTGTGTGTGTGTGTGTGTAGCGCCGCAGCCTGTAGGGGAGCTGCCATGGCTGGGGCAGGCCAGAGCTGATGAGTGGTCTGGACTCAGTATGTTTTTTCTTCTAAAATCCCACATTTGAACCGTAGTTGTGATGTTCTTTTCTTTAATCCTCGCGTTCTCAAACTGTCGTGTTTTTTCAGATGGTGGATCAGCTGACCCCAGCTCTGACTGGGATGCCCCCTCTGAGGCCTGGGGCAACTACGAGGAACCTTCTCCTGAGCCGCCCCTCCCCCAGCTGGCCATGGTTAATCTGATCGGAGCCGCTGTAAGTCAAGCCGGTTCCTCTCAGTTCATGGTGATGGTCGCAGATCAGACTGAAGAAAGACTTATGGTTGAGATGATGATCATCAGCAAAATGAACTGCTTGTGCTTTTCATGACACCTGTGACTCGTCTTAAAGGGAAGTTCACCTCCTTAGAAGTGGGGTCATGAGTCTCATTTGTTCATCTTGTTAAAAGGAGGACGATGAAGACGATAAGGAAAAGGAAGATGGCGCTACTGATGGAGCAGCTAAAAGTAAGAAGAAGAAAAAGAAGAAGAAGAAGTCTGCTGAAGAGGAAGGAACAGCAGGCCAGGTAACTGGGTGGGGGGGCTGTTTCTTTATGGAGGTTTATTTATTTATTTATTTGCTCTAATAATCCAAAAAGTTACTTCAAACAAACAAAAAACAAAGTTAATAAGAATTTAGGGATGCACCGATCAGGTTTTTTGCTGCCGATCACAGATACCGATATCAAAGAATGCTGATCACCGATACGATCACGTTGATTGGCCAGAAATTTTCTACAACATTATAATGAGTGCTACAAACTACATAATCTGGGAATAAAGGAAATGTAACCTAATCTAAAATAGTCTGTATTAGGGTTGTCACGGTGTGAAAATTTAACCTCACGGTTACTGTGACCAAAATTACCACGGTTTTCGGTATTATCGCTGTATTTTTTTTAAACGTGCTACATTTTCACACAATTAAATAAACCCTGTATGTCAGGAAATATTGTCCTCAGTTTGTGTCTAAATTTTGCCTAAAATGTGTTATTTTGTAATTATGTTGTTTATTTGTTTACATTTTTCCCTTTAGTCTTTAAAATACCAATATTTGCCCATAACTTCTTATTTTATGTCTGTTTGATGTCATCATTTAAAAAATATTAGATCAGATGATACTCAGTACGCAAGTAGCCTTCTAATCAGATACTTTTTTACCCTTACTTGAGTAATAAACCCTATATCAGTAAAATATGGTCCTTGGTTTGTGTCCTTCCAGTGAGCTTTGCAGATGTGGGAAAATGTCATCAGGCAGTAATCATTGTTAAATTCATAATTATTCTCGGAGAGAGACCAACTCTTATCTGCCCCTGGGAGCCCCATAATGCATAGCGTCATTTCAACATGGGGGTGTCCGCGACACGGTTTATATGCAGGTAGCGGCGCTGCGGCTGCTTTATGTAGCGACTCGTTCCATTCTCCCTCAACCCAAATCCTCGGATCACGCATTTTAGCTAAAATGCTAACGTTAGCTTGCCTTGCGTTGACTGTAGAGTTGTGGGTGATGGTCACGCAGATGTGTCATGAGATTTGAAGCGTTGCTGCCTTTCACAGACACTTTTTCTGCACGTGCTGCAAACAGGATGGCCGTCCGTCTTCTATAAACTCCCTCAGCATTCTTCAAATATCTAAAAGATGCCCATACTTCCCACTTTGTCTTCTTTGAGGGATAAAAAATGTCCTCCTGAGCACTGCCGTCTCCTCCTTTGGCCATTATTTCAGCTTTAGCTTCAAGAAAGTTTTGGTTGTAAACGCCAAAGAGCGCATGTGCCGTCGGCAACTTCAGCAGATGATACGGTGGCTGGTAAGGGTCACCGCGCCTACACCGCAGCCACGGTAAACCCACCGAGATAATATAGTTTTTTAAAAAACAAGATGGTTATTATTGTCAACTTTTTTTTACCGGGGTTTACCACTACACCGGTTACCGTGACAACCCTACCTGATCGGTCTGCTTTGTTTTATTTTGAAAACTCCGATCAAAACCGATAGGGGCGCTATCGGCCGATTGGGATCAAATGCCGATCCATCGGTGCATCCCTATAACAATTTAAAAAAATGTCAAACTTACCTTAAAATCTTAATTTTTCTATGATTTACTGACTTTCTGATCCAGTCAACCATTTGTTTCATTTTAATCAAAATATTTTCTTTCAAAAAGAAAAATATTTAATTTTTAAAACCAGAAGTTTTGTTTGAATGTAAATTTGTTTTATTTTGAAAACTGGAAAATTAGTTTGAGCATCTTAATTATCTGCTGCTGGTGAAGGTCCTCACGGTAATCCAGGTCACGGTAATCCAAAGGGCTCAAATGAAGGCAAAGGAGTTGTCTTCAATTGAATCCTTTGGATGCTCAGAAAACTTTGTTTTGTTTATTTGAAACTTTGTTTTTTGATTGAAACGAAGTTTGCTTTCCATCCGGGGCCTTTTTGTCCAAGATGAAAGACCTCTCTTCATTGTCCAGTGATGAAGACAATCATCCTCTTCATCATGGAGGAAGGTGGAGGGCCCAGAGGCAGAGCATGGGCAGGTTCTTCCCATTGTTAGAAACAATTATAGACAACAGATTTATTTGTTCAAATCAACTTAGTTCCTGTTAATATTTAGTATTTTGGTGTGAAGAACTGTAGCGAAGCATCAATGACGCAGACGGCTCGATTCTAAGAATTCGTCGACGTCAGATCCGGTAGTCGACTCGCCACGCCCACTTGCTGCATCCCCAGGAGTTTGTAAATAGAGGAGGAATCTGACTGTTTTTCCTCTTGTTCGCCCTCTTCTACGCCTTCACTGACATCGCCGCCAAATACCGAAGACTAGGAATAATGTCTGTCCGCTACTAGACCGCTTTCCTGTTTTGCCCGCCTTTGTCTCCCAGCAACGGACAACAACTTCCGAGGTCAAATGCGCTGCTTCGTCTCTACCGCAGATGTAGAAAATCACCGGGAGCGTTTCTCTCTTCATAAAGGAGCTTCTTTCAGACATTAGGAGAGCTGTTTTAATGGTAGCAGTCTCTCCTCCATGCTGGTTTGTTTGCTGGGTATTTTTGGTTTAGTTAAAGAGGCATTATGGAAGTTTTGACAGCCAAAACATGTATAGAAATAATAAAATTTCTTCTTCATACATTCTCCTGCAATGTCCTGGTCCTGTAGAATGAGCCCTGACATTTTTACTGTGATTGCCTGTTTTTCTGTAAAATCACAGAAAAAGAGCTGTTCGGGTCCAGCAGGCTGCTTCATGCGCGTTCACGCTCAGACATAGCCCCTAGCATTTGCTATCCGTAGATTTAGTCTTTGTCGCTGTTCCTAACGCCTAGTGACAAAGCTAGCTACATTTCTGAGGACCCTTAGCTACTTTCTGTAGAACTTTCTTCTAGATTTTTCCTGCAAATTAGCAACAAAATAGCCATTTTCGCTTCGAACCGTTCTTTGAACGTTGTTTCAGCTGTCATCAAGGATATAAAAGTTACAGATACAAAGGACATCACTGGCGCTTTAGCTCACCTAGTAAGATGGACTCTCGTGCAGGAGACCCAGGTTCGATTCTGTATGTCAACATAGTTTATTTAGTTTCTTTTTTACATTAATGATAGATTTTTTACAGTAAGATGCCCAAATTTTTATTTGAGACTCGCCGAACGGCATTGAATTCAGATAAAAAAGATGTGGGTTCAACTTTTCACTTTGTTGGCTGTGCTGAAGAGAAAGGTACAGAACCAAATTATTTAATTAATTAGCTGCACGTTCTCCTGTCCTCTGTCCTCCGGGCCACACACACACAAGCGACTGTCTCAGCTGTTATTTTCGTTAAGGAGTGTGCACGTACAGCATGCGCGCCTCGTGCACGAGCCTACTATTGAAGCTGCCGTTACGCTTTTGGCCTGAGTGGGCAATCGCGAGCATAAAAATTCAAAACTCTGTAAAGTCCCTTTAAACTTGGTAACTTGAACTTAACGTTGGTAAGGCTACTGTTAGCATTTTCGCTAACAGTAGCTTGCGTTTGGATAAGCTACACTGATACGCTGTTACGTTTTGGTTTAGAGTTAATCTTTTTGTGGTGTAGATCTCCCTTTTATTACACTTAGAGTGTTGTGGGTTTTCGGTTTAGTTTAAAATATCACCTTGAGTTTGGTTTAACCACCCAGTTCAGAGTGGATGGAAAGATTTATATTTTTTGTAGTTGTAAATAAACCTGATCATCATTTTAACTTTTAAATCTCACGTTATTGTCCCTTCCTTTTTGCACACGAGCCCGACTCCCTAGGAAGGGTCATAACACCACTCGCCTCACGCACATAAGTGACCAAAACAAAGTAGCATGGAGACACTCCATCTCCAACCACCTCTCAGGCTGCAGCCTACACTCCCAAGTTCTACATGTCACCAGAACATAACCAACCGCAACACAATAAAAGCAGGTTATACAAAATCGAAGGCCTGTAGTGTTTATTCTCTTACAGTACCAATTTATCAATTTTTCTGAGGAATTTATTAGAAATTTTCTGGTTTTTATTAATTGTGCAATAGAAAAATAATCGTTAGATTAATTTTCTAAATAGTCCTTAGAATAGTCGACTATTCGATAAAATAATCGTCAGAATAATCGTTTTAAAAATAATCGTTTCCCCCATCCCTAGTGTTAATATGTTTACTACAACAGACTCATTACTGATCCTTTGTTTTAAGTGTTAATATTTACAGTTTTAAACACATTACATGAACAGAAAGCTGATGCAAGGACAAAACTAAATACTAGGGCAGGGCGATATGGACCAAAACTTATATCTCTATCTTTTAGCTGAATTCCGATATACGATATATATCTCGATATTTTTCCTTCTGCAAATTTTTTTAAAGTTAACTCACTTCAAGCTGTCTTGGAAAATTACATACATAAACCAGTAGATTTAATGCATACAAATTTATTGTTGTCAAACTTTAACCTCAGTGCCCATTCTCTGGTAGAGCTGTCTGCTAACACACACACACACAGTTGAGAGCTGGAGGTGTATCAAATGTCCCACAGGCACTTTTTTATTACACATTTATAATAAATGTAAAATTCTTTTAATTTCATCTAGAGGTGGCCCATATCGTGTCCAGAGGAAAAAAAATCCATCATGTTAAACTAAATGTATGATGATGTAATTGCATCTACTGAAGATCACATGGGTCATGCACCGTGGCGTTATTGGTTATCAGGGCAAACATGGCTGGAGTCTAACAGTATTGGCTCATATCAGAGAATATACTGTAATGACTCAGTCTCTTGTTGCTCTTTTATGAGTATTATTTTCGGGCTACTGTCGCCGTAATCTACGCCTTACAAGCGTTTACCTTTTTCAACAGAATCAGTATCTACTAGCATAGCAAACCGGGGCGGAAAAACCGGAACAACATTTCTCACCCATTGAGCTCACCTTCAAAATAAAACATTAATCTTATTGTTTACTATTCAAACCCTTACAACACATTTGAGGTAATTTGGCTACCCGTAGATGTTTCCTGATTACACAGGGGTGGGAGTGGTTTGGCTCATCTCTCCGGTTCTGCACATGTAGAATGGAAAAACAACTCTGTTGCCCCCAAATAATTATAAACCAGGACACCAAATGCAAAGTTTACAGCAGCACATTTACCTAGAGGCTCTCAGATTGAGCAAACTTGTGACAATACACGTAATAACCACTGAGCAACATGTTGCTAGCATAGCGGCTAAGTGCTAGCAAAGCAGTTTGACCAGTTATATCAATATAAAGATTTGTTTAAAAATTGTACCGGTATTTTAAAAATAACGATTATGGCCCAGCCCTAGGTGGAAACAACTGTTGTTTACTCAGTTGATGACGGTCACATCACTACGAGGTAATCAGAAATATGCAACCAGAGGATGATTATTATTCTAGTGAATCCATAACTTAGATTTAGCTGATAATATGAAAGTAATTTTTAAATAGAGATTTCTACATGACTGACATGCCTTTTAACAGTAGTAGTGGTCCAGCCAGAGAGCACAGCTGGCTGCCTTCATACTAGCATCTTCCTGAGGCCACAGTGTCACCAGCACTGAGCCAGATGTGCAGATGACCTGTGACAGAGGAAATAAACGACTTAACACAGTGTTTTAGTATTTAATTCAGACGCATCTATACAATCACAATCAGAAGGCTTGACTGCCACGAGAGCGAGAAATCACAACATTAGGAGTAAATATAGGAAGTAAGACTAAAATAATATAACCTGGCAATAATTAAACAGCTTCTACATACAAACCTGTAGGTCAGAGCTACTCAATCCTGGGCCTCGAGGGCAGGCGTTACGTCGAAATGAGTCCCCCTCTGATCTTTCTTTCCCACTCAGCTGTGAGTTTAGACCATCCACTCACTAAAAATGCGTGTCCTAACCCTAAAACAAAAATCATGTCGGAGTAATTCCATAAATAATAATTATGTAAAACGTACTTTTTGATGAGAGTGGTTATGGTTAGGGTGAGGGTTATTAAACACCCCCCCCCCCCACACACACACACACACAGCTGGGTGTAACACACACCGATCTCGACGGTGGAACGAAGCCCCGAGACCCTCGGGAAATGGAGTTTCAAACAAACAAAACAAAGTTTTGAAAGCAAAGAATTAAGATGTTCAAAGTTTTTGGTTTTCAGAATAAAATAATTTTTCACTCAAACAAAACTTCTGGTTTTAAAAATGCTATATTTTTCTTTTTGAAAGAAGAACTTTTTGATTAAAACTAAACAGAAATAAGTGATTGGACCAGAAAGTCAGTAATTGATAGAACATAAAGATTTTTAAGGTAAGTTTGAGATTTCCCTTTTTTTTATTGCAGTTTTTCAATAATTATTAACTTTATTTTGTTTTTTAAGTAACTTTTTTTCATTGATTAATAAAGAAACCAAATTACCTCCTTATTTCTTTCACTAGTTGTTTATGAAGAAATAGAAGTGCAGCATAGAGGTTGTTTGTAGATGTGACTGCTGTTGTTGTTTGGAGGTTGAAGAGACCGTCAAGGAAATGCCTCCTGCTGCCTCAGGGAAGAAGCAGCCACCTGCTCAGGAGAACGCTGCTGCCGTCCAGCCTGTCAGAGCAGCCGCTGTGGAGGTCAGTGAGGTCAGCAGGACAACAGCAGCGTAGCCCGATGAACTACAGGTGCTGGCCAGTAAATTAGAATATCATCAAAAGGTTGAAAATATTTCAGTAATTCCATTCAAAACGTGAAACTTGTACATTATATTCATGCAATGCACACAGACCAATGTATTTCCGATGTTTATTACGTTTAATTTTGATATTTATAGGTGACAACCAATGAAAACATCAAATCTGGTATCTCAGAAAATTAGAATATTCTAAAGGCCAATGAAAAAATGTTTGTTTCTCTAATGTTGGCCAACTGAAAAGAATGAACATGAAAAGAATGTGCATGTATAGCACTCAATACTTAGTCGGGGCTCCTTTTGCCTCAATAACTGCAGTAATGCGGCGTGGCATGGACTCGATCAGTCTGTGGCACTGCTCAGGTGTTATGAGAGCCCAGGTTGCTCTGATAGTCGTCTTCAGCTCCTCTGCATTGTTGGGTCTAGCGTATTGCATCCTCCGCTTCACAATACCCCATAGATTTTCTATGGGGTTAAGGTCAGGCGAGTTTGCTGGCCAATCAAGGACAGGGATACCATGGTCCTTGAACCAGGTGCTGGTGGTTTTGGCACTGTGTGCAGGTGCCAAGTCCTGTTGAAAGGTGAAGTCTGCATCCCCATAAAGTTGGTCAGCAGCAGGAAGCATGAAGTGCTCTAAAACTTCCTGGTAGATGGCTGCATTGACCCTGGACCTCAGGAAACAGAGTGGGCCAACACCGGCAGATGACATGGCACCCCACACCATCACTGACGGTGGAAACTTTACACTGGACCTCATGCAACGTGGATTCTGTGCTTCTCCGCTCTTCCTCCAGACTCTGGGTCCTTGATTTCCAAAGGAAATGCAGAACTTGCTTTCATCAGAAAACATAACTTTGGACCACTCAGCATCAGTCCAGTCCTTTTTGTCCTTGGCCCAGGCGAGACGCTTCTTGCGCTGTTTCTTGTTCAAGAGTGGCTTGACACACGGAATGCGACACCTGAATCCCATGTCTTTCATGAGTCTCCTCGTGGTGGTTCTTGAAGCGCTGACTCCAGCTGCAGTCCACTCTTTGTGGATCTCCCCCACATTTTTGAATGGGTTTGTCGTCACAATTCTCTGCAGGGTGCGGTTATCCCTAGAGCTTGTACACTTTTTTTCTACCACATTTTTTCCGTCCCTTCGCCTGTCTGTTAATGTGCTTGGACACAGAGCTCTGCGAACAGCCAGCTTCTTTAGCAATCACCTTTTGTGTCTTGCCCTCCTTGTGCAAGGTGTCAATGATTGTCTTTTGGACAGCTGTTAAGTCAGAAGTCTTCCCCATGATTGTGGTGCCTTCAAAACAAGACTGAGGGACCTTTTAAAGGCCTTTGCAGGTGTTTTGAGTAAATCAGCTGATTAGAGTGGCAGCAGGTGTCTTCTATATTCAGCCTTTTCAGAATATTCAAATTTTTTGAGATACCAAATTTGGAGTTTTCATTAGTTGTCACTTATGAATATCAAATTTAAATGTAATGAACATTGGAAATACATTGGTCTGTGTGCATTGCATGAATATAATGTACAAGTTTCACGTTTTGAATGGAATTACTGAAATATTTTCAACCTTTTGATGATATTCAAATTTACTGGCCAGCACCTGTAAATGATGATGTCTTTTGTTCAGAAACGTGTTGATGAGAGTGTACGGTCCCAGCTGGAGGAGTCACGGCATATCTTTGTTCCTCCTAACAGGCAAGAGGGCAGCGACAAGTGAAGGACACCATTCCCCAGAAGCCCCCTGTCACACAAGTGCCACCAAAGCCTACTGATGGAGAGCCCACTGCCAAGCAGAACAACTTTCCTGCTCCAACTGTGCAAAGTAAGTCGGTCCCTCTTCTGCACTGCTGCAGAGAAGTTCAAAGGCTCCCTCTTTAATCTAGGATAGGTCTTATGAAAGGAGCCAACAACTTCATTGTTTCTTTTTTCCACAGAAAAACCAGAGGAGAACCAAGCGTCCAAACCAGCGAAGAAGAAGAAGGCGAGGAGAGAGACATGAGGACTCCCCCCCCCCCCCCCACACACACTCTTCTGTATGCAAAAGACCACATCCTGTTTATGCAACACCTTCTGTAACAGGGTCGTCAAACCACAGTTGATACTGAAGGACTTGACCTTAAGACTTGTCTGAATCGTCAGTTGCCAGGTCACTGAGAGCTGAAACACAATGCAGTGCAATCTAATGTAATGAGGTGTTAATGATTTTTTTATTTACAATCAATCTTCTGACCCCGTTGACCTGAAGGAGCTGTATCGTAGTCCGTAGACGTGTAGAAAATACTGATCATTAGAAGTTTGTTGCCATGGTGACAAACCTGGCTGGACTGGAGCGAGGAACTGGCCTCTCGCTCTGCAGATTAATGATTGGAGCTCGATAAGCTGTAAACTGTTGTGATGTAATTGATCATGGTGAGACACGGGAAAGGGAGTCGTGTCTGCTCTGTACTTCTGATTTTTCTTTCTGTGATTCTGAAAACGTTGTCAACTGTTCATCTGGTTTGTCTCGTCTGTCGTTTTGCTGCAGTGTGTCAACAACTGTTGTCTTGCTGTTCTTACGGTCTGCGACCACAGCTGTGTGGAAGCCTCTGGTGGCAAATGTGTCCTTCCAACATCATCGGCTTCGTTTTTCACCTCTGCTTGATTCTCAAGTCTTCAGAGCCTTTTGTAAAACCTGTTTGTAATAAAAGAAAAGCTAAAGCCATATGTAAAAAGACAAAATAAAGGCCAGTTTTTCTATCTGTTGCTTTGCATTTCTGCTGTTTGCCTTCTATCAGACTCCATCAGCACAGGAATTCAGGAGGAAAGACTACCTTAAACAAGGGTTGGTTGGTATGTACATCACCGGAAGCATCACTTCAAAACAAAAGCCTTCCAAACCATTTCATTTTTATTCTGACAGTATCTATGTCCAATGGACCAAAAATCACAAAGTTTAAAGCAATGTTGCACTTAACTCAATATGGGAAATGTGGATGAATGAACAAAATGACGTTCATTGTTCTAGGGTTAATTAGAAAAAGGTTTTTTTTAGTAGGGACGGGATCTCTGCTGGCAGGTTTTTCTTACTAGTAGTGGACATATTAACATGCATCAGGCTCCTAGTGGTAGAGTGTCCGCCCTGAGACTGGGAGATCAGGGTTCGATTCCTGGTCGGGTGATACCAAAGACTAATAAAATGGGACCCGACACCTCCCTGCTTGACTCTCAGCATTAAGGGGTTGGTTTGGGGTTTAAACCAACGGTTCCTGAGCGTGGCCGCGTCTGCAGCTCACCACTCCCCCAGGGGATGGGTCAAATGCGCAGAACAAGTTTCACATACACATCGACAACTAATGGGGCTTTGACTTTGATGTTACAAACCTAATGTTCAACCCCCCAAAAAGATGGAAATTGTGATAGTTCAGTAGGTAGAGCGGGTTGTCTAGTGTTTGCGTGATCCTAGGTGAATAATAATGAAGGTAGTTGTTTAAACCCTGACTATTTCTAAGCCACAGAAAATAATCTCAGTTCTACAGGATCCTAGGTCGGTCTCCATCTAAGTCCCTGGCCAGCATACATCACCTTCAGAGGACTCTTGGAGCTGGACTGAAGCCTGTCTCCTGACTCAGGGTTTTATACTATTTTATACTATTTCAATCACTTCTCCCATTGGTCAGCCGGTGCTTACTTCTCCGTAGGGTGAAAGTTACCTCATCTCCAGTCCGTCTGCATGAATCCATGTCAGCACAAACTGCATACCTCCTTCCATGTGTTGTTCTTTCTAGCTGAGACATTCGGCCATCATCAGAGTCATTACTGACCAGTTCCTGTGTGGTTTCAAGTGTTTTAGTTCTTCGTGCGCTTTAACATGGGCCACCATTAAATACTCTTTTTATGCTGACTGTGTGGGATGTGTTCAGGTGAATGATGAGCAGACCGGGTGGTTTCGCATCCCCTCTGGTGTTAAACATGGAGAAGTTTTATCACCCAGCTTGTTTTTAAATGATTAGGCTTTTCTATTTATTTTTTTAATCTATTTTATTCCCTTTAATCTACTATGTTGTTTTAATCCTTGTTTTTATGTGCTGCTCACCACCTTGGGCCTCCGATAAGGTGGTGGTAGGTGCTATATGAATAAATCTGATGGACTGATTGAGTGCTGGCAGCGCAGGGTGATCTGGGGTGGGTCCCTGGTTCAGTCCAAAGGAAATGCGAAATTGTTAGATGAAGGAATCAACTCCTTAACCTGCCTAAAAATAGAGGAACAAAAATGTTTTATGCAGAGTAAGAATTGGTTCCCTCGGGCTTCTGAGCTTCAGACTGTTTTTGCTGATGCAAAACTCCAGCATGAATTTTGTAATAATTTATTCTGTTCTGTTAATGAAATTAGATCACATTTGATGCCAAAACGAAGGACTTATTTACAAATCAAAGATACATTTGAAACTGAGTCGTATGTAAAGGCAAATGTGACAAGAATCCAAGGATCTCTGATGGCTCAACGAGTATCCATCTCCTGGCCATAGAAACGGTTAGGTTCCCTCAAACTCCTGGAGAGGACACAGACTTTGAAGGCTGTGCGATTTGGGAGTGTTATATTGTCCATGACGTGATGATTTTAGAAATGTATTATTTGGTGATCTGTTTGTCCAAAAGCCTGAAATGTTTTGGGTCAATGAAGACGACAGGATGAAATGGTTATTTAATTTTAATGTGTATAAATTGGCTACTTTAGTTTGTAAAGCCTGGTTGAGGCTGCCGACCTGCCTATTTAAATAAGTAAATGTATGGTGTATTTATTATTTTGTCATTTATTTTGGGTGTCCTATAAGCCCACTGGAGCTGAACATACAGTACAATGGTATGCAATAATAATAAATCCATTCATTCATACTCCAGTGGTTTTCTCCAAGCTGAAGAGTGTAACTTTACAATAAGCTTTAAACTTGTTTTTACTTTAACTTTAATGTGTAATTATATTTACAGCTTTAATAAAAATATGTCAAAGGCATTTTAATATATGTGAAGCCAGGGGGGCTGCCAGAGATTTTGGGCCCCATGAAAAATATCAAGTTGGGTCCCCTGGGGGCTCGTCCATAGCTGGAGCTGGGGTTCCACCCTCCCAGATTCGAAGGGAGAAAAAAATATAATATATATACTTTATATTAGTGTTTCAGTTTTGCTTAATTATGTAGGTCTACATGCATTCTTACTTATTTACATATCATTTTCACCAGCGGTCTCTCATTAAACAGTGATTTTCCTTCAACAGAATTAGCAATATCACTGCTGGAAAAAGCAGGAAATGCACATGCTGAAAGGTGTTAATCTCCTTTTCCCTTTTACTCCCTTAAAATGTGTTTATTTATTCTAAAATTTTATTTGATGATAAAATTCAAATTTGGATATCAAATTAAATTTCCATGTTGTGTCAAAGCTTTACATAACTACATTTTCAGCTGTCTTTCCTCTTGAAATCAAGTATTTCTGTATGACTGACAACAATTAATTATTATAATAATTATTATTTACAGTGATATAATTAATAATGCTCGATAACGATCAATACTAGATTTCATATTTAATTGTGTTCAATGTTACGTGAAGTTTATTTATTACAATTATTAATAGCTTTTGTTTCATTTTTGCTCTCTGATGAATTATTTGGAAATTACAGATTTTTGGTTTGTGTTCTAAAAGCTACATAAACAAATTACATCTTGTAAAACCTCCCATAATTCAGTCAGATTCAAAACATTTCATTTCAAGGTATTTAGTAGACAAAGAGGGTTTTTTTTCTTGTATGGTGCCTTCAAAAAGGTGCTTCACAGTAATAATCTCACAGTAATTTGTTACATTAACAGACTAAATAACAATGCTTCAACTTGCCCAGCATAAAAACAATCTATACATTTTTACTGATTGATATTTATAATTATCATCATGTGGAAAAACAATGTGTTTATCACCAAAAATAGCCTTTTTATATTCCTTTGTAATAGTACTGATAGAGAAGAGAGCCTTAAGTGATTCCCACAGACCCCCTTAAATGAGGCTGCTCGCTAACATGCTACATTGCTCACCTTCTTGAGGTTCAGTGGGTTGTGAGGGGACACCTGCTGACATATCACCAGCTGCTGATTATGGTAGGGACAAGGACAACAACCCATTTACCATAATTAGATGAAACATAGTTCCTCTCATTGTGGATATCAGAGCTAGCTAACAGGTTGAATTTAACCACTCACTAACTAAACCCACCTTTCTTTGAGAAAAACTGTGTGACATACTGACGCTCTCTCTTCTGCCTGTCCTCTTTCTCCTTTCTTTCTTTCCTTTTCTGTGACCCAGACTTTGTTTTTGCAGACATATTTTTACTGTAGCCTTGCTGTCTGACTCACAAACGTTGGTCCAAAACTGTTTTTATCACTTAAGAAATATCTCCAAACTGAAGGTTGGTGTCAAAACATGAACCTGAAATGGTTCTCCATGCCTTTATCTCCTCCCGTCTAGATTACTGTAACACAGTCTTCACATGTTTTAACAAAAAAAGCCTTGACCACCTTCAGTTGGTCCAGAACTCTGCAGCTAGGCTCCTAACTGGAGCAAACAGAAGAGCACACATCACTCCTGTTCTGATGTCTCTGCACTGGTTACCCGTTAACTTTAGAGTTCATTTTAGAATCCTGACTAGAACTTTCAATGCTCTACATGGTCAAGCTCCTCCCTATATTACTGAACTGTTAAAGCCTTATGCTCCAACCCGAGCCCTCAGGTCCACACACCAGAACCTTCTAGAAGTTCCAAAGACCAGATACAAAAGTCGAGGTGATCGCTCCTTCCAGACTGTTGCACCCCGACTCTGGAATGATCTTCCTTTATCCTTACTCAGCATTGGCAGCCTGGACACTTAAAAATCAGCTGAAGACCCTTTTATTTAAAGCTGTTTTTACCTAAACCTTTTGTTTTCTTAATTTTAACTCATATTTGTAATAATCTTTCATCTGTTTATGAAATGTTATAATTTTATTACTTTATTTTTATTTTAATTTATTTCTGTTTTAAGATCATTATGATTTTATTACTTTATCATTTTGTTTTGATATATAGGAAACACTTTGTGATTTTCTGTCTGTGATGAGTGCTGTATAAATACAATTTACTTACTTAAATGTATTATATACATAAATTATTTAATCACTGTTGCATGGATTGTGTCACTGACTGATTAATTTATTGTCAGAATGAGAGGACAAAACTCACTCCAGACCAGATCTGTACTCTCCTGGACCTCTGCCTTTCTACCACCTACTTCAAACACAAAGACACGTTTTACCAGCAGAAACATAATGCACCATGGGCTCCCCAATGTCACCTATCGTCACCAACATTTACATGGAGGAAGTGGAAACCAGAGCTTTGAGCTCCTACAATGGAATAACACCGAGCCACTGGTTCAGGTATGTGGACCACACATGGGTCAACTTCTCACGAAGGAAGTAGAAGACTTTACCAAGCACCTTAATGCCATGGACAAGAACATCAAGTTCACCAGGGAGGATGTCCACAACCATCAACTGCCCTTCTTCTTGGACTGTGCTGTACTAACTGAACAAGATGGAAGTCCCAGCAATGAAGTCTACAGGAAACCAACTCACACAGACCAGCATCTGCATTTGGACTCACATTACCCACTGAAGCACAAGATGTCAGTCATCAGGACTTTACACCATCGGGCCGGGAACATTCCCACAAAGACTGAAGGAAAACACATGAAGAAAGCTCTCCAGAACTGCAGATATCCTAAATGGACCTTTGTGAAATCTACAAAGAAGTCTAGAAAAGCATCCAAAGCAACAACCAGCAGAGAAAAGGACAACAGGCACAAAGGCACCATCATCCCATACGTGGCAGGAGTGTCCGAGAAACTCAACTCAACTCAACTTTATTTATAAATCGCGCCTTACAGGCAAAAAGATGCCACCAAGGCGCTATACTGATCAAATAAAAACATAAAACAGTAAGTCCAGAAAATAAAACATTGTATCACACGATACTGTTAAAACTACAATGAGTAAAATGCTATAAGTAAAACAATAAAACTAGTTAGAAAGGTTAAAAGACAGGTCATAAAAATATGTTTTTAGCCTTGCCTTAAAAACCGCAACAGAGGTGGAGGCCCTTATGCTCAGAGGAAGCTTATTCCAAAGCTTAGGACCTGCCGCAGCAAAGGCCCTATCACCACACGTCTTTAGGCACGTTCTTGGGACCGAGAGGAGCATGAAGTTCTCCGAGCGGAGTGACCGTGAAGGGGTGTATGGTTGAAGTAGTGACACCAAGTAAGGAGGGGCTAAACCATTTAACATTTTAAAAACTAGTAAAAGTATTTTAAAATGAATCCTAACATCAACGGGCAGCCAGTGAAGCGCAGCCAGGACAGGAGTTATGTGGTCAAACTTGCGCCTGCCCTCTAAAAATCTGGCAGCAGCATTCTGGACCATTTGCAACCTGGCTATTGAGCCCTTGCTCACACCGAATAAAACAGAGTTACAGTAGTCCAATCGCACCGTAATAAAAGCATGGACCACCGTCTCAAGATCATGACGTGACAGAAATGGTTTGACTTTTGCCAGCCGACGAAGGTGGAAAAAGGAGGAGGAGATCACTCCATTGATATGGGTATCAAAACTAAGGGCGCTATCCAGTTTAACACCAAGATTAGTCACCGATGTAGTCAGCTGGCCATTAAATGACCCACAGTCAGTTAGGGAAGAGTCACAATGTCTGCTTGGAGCAAACAATATAGCCTCTGTTTTCTGATCATTTAGGCTCAGAAAATTTTCAGTCATCCAGGTCTTGATCTCCCTCAAACAGTTTGTAAGAATAGAAATAGAGAGACCACTTGACGTGTTCAGAGGCAGGTACAGCTGACAATCATCAGCATAAAGGTGGAATTGAACTCCAAGCTCACGACAGATGTCACCTAAGGGCAGAATGTAAATAGAAAACAACAGAGGTCCCAATATCGAGCCCTGTGGTACCCCCCAAGGTAGATCAGAGTACTCTGAGGAATAACTTCCCATCCTAACACACATTTTTCTATTTGTCAGGTATGATCTAAACCATTCCAGGGCTAATCCTGAAATCCCGACATAATGATGAAGACGGTGAAGCAGCACTTCATGGTCTATCATGTCAAAAGCTGCTGTGAGGTCCAGCAGAAGTAGCAACACAGAAATACCGCTATCAGTCGCTAGATAAATGTCATTGAGCACTCTAACCAGAGCAGTCTCCGTGCTGTGTAGAGCTCTGAAGCCAGACTGGAAAGTCTCAAAAATGGCATTCTCGTCCATAAAAACCAAGAACTGGTGGTAAACACATTTCTCAAGCACCTTACTCAAGAAAGGAAGTTTTGAAATGGGCCTGTAGTTTTCAGCCAGCGAAGCATCCAGTCCATGCTTTTTGAGCAAAGGTTGAATAACCGCTTTTTTGAAATCGTCAGGGACTATACCAGAACTGAGGCTCATGTTAATTATGTGCAATATTAAAGGGGCGACTACTGGAAAGACTTCTTTAAGGAGGCGCGTTGGCATCACTTCATCCGGCGAGCCACTTGGCTTAGCCTTCCCAGCGATCTTGATCAGATCATCAAGACTAATTTGTTCAAATGCCACCAAACCTCTGGTGGCAGTAACAGAACGGCCACATGCCGGTGCCCTAGACATGGTAGCCCGGAGTGCAGCAACTTTCCCAATAAAAAAGTCACGGAACTCATCACACATTCCAGCCGAAACCTAGAAGAATCTTCTCCAAACACAACATCCCAGTAAACTTTAAACCCAACAACACCCTCAGACAGAACCTGGTCCATCCTAAAGTCAAAACACCCAAACAGAAGCTCAGTGGGGTCGTTTATGCAGTCCAGCGTAGTGAGGACTGTCCAGATGTTTACATCGGGGAAACTAAACAACAATTACACAAGAGCATGGCACAACTCTGCAGTCCACCTACACCTGAAGGACAAGGGACACATTCTGGACAGAGAAGATAGATGGATTGAGAGAGAAGTAAAAGAAGCTATCTATGCCAAATGTGAAAAACCCACATAGGGGCGGGGCTTAGATTTAACCTTTTCAGTACCTATAATGCAGCTTTGGATCTCATTCCTAAGCAGCTTCAGTCTAGGTCACACCTTCCTGCATCTGATCAACACAACCACTCCCTCTCAGTAGAGGCCAGTGACTCATCAGGGGATGGAGAGAAGGGGTACTCAGAGTAGTTTCTGCTCATTAAACAACAACAGACAGCTACAGCTTATAAGTTTGACTCTCCCATGTTCCAGTTAGAACTGACAAAGCTCCTCGGATGAGAAGAGAAACGAGTTCAAGAAACCAAAGTCCAGTTGCCTTCATCTGAACCCTTTTGGATCACCATGACCTGGATGACTGAGAACCTTCACCGGCTTATTTTACTCATGTTTTCTTACAAGGAATGTTTTCAGCAGAAGTTTTTGACCACAGAATCAAAAGTCTGGTTTCAACAAAACAACGATGAGCCATAAAATGTAATGAACTAGCTAAGCCAGTGAGTCACCAAAGGACACAAACATGAAAGCAGTTTGGAAACAAATGCTTTTAATTTGAAACAGGAAGTCGCATATTATCTCACTCGTGCTTGACGCTGTTTAAAGCTTCTCGGTCACGGGGAGTATACCACGGACAGATCAGCGGGGTTTACCGGAGCGAGTGGACGCTAGTCGGTAGGACAGCGACTCTGCGTCGTTCCCAGAGAAGATGATGATGTCCCCGTGGGACCGGTGGTCCTCCACAAGCTGCTGCCTGTGCTGCCATGTCCGCACAGGAACCATCATCCTGGGGGTCTGGTACATGGTGAGCACCTGCACCCGGACTCGTGCTGGAGACTTCCGTGGTCACCAGCTGGACTCTGACTCCAGACAGGACTTAATGTCTGCTTGTTTGTCTGCTGTTGTGGTTAGGGTCAGGTGTTATGGTGGTTTTGGGAAGACCCGTTTTAGATCTGCCTCTCATCTAAAGAAACATGCTTGAGCTTTATAGATTTGTTAGGGTTAGGGTTTTTAACAGGACAGGACAGGTGAGTTCACCCAAACCACGCCCTCCTCACATGAACAGTGGGTCTCCTCAGGTAACAGGTTAGGGTGTCAGGCTGCAGAGGAAGTTCCATCACCTCACCAAAGAGTCATCCGAGTAATGAACCACACACACACACACACACACACACACACGCACACGCACACGCACACACACACACCTGCTCTAACTCCATATCTGTCTTCTGTTCCTATAAGCTCATCAATGCCGTGGTGTTACTCATCCTGCTCACGGCACTCAGTGATCCTGAGCAGTACCACCTGGCCAGCGCTGAGTTAGCCAATGACCTGGATGTCATGGATGATGCCAGTAAGTACCCCAGATCCCACACTCAGAACATTAACCATAGGGATTTTAGTTCAGGACCGCCCTGGAACCGTTGGATCGAAGGTGGCTCATCATCTGAGTCTCAAACTAGCAGTTTGTCCCAGGATCAGGGGGTTGTGCCAGCTGGTGAGGGCCACTGTTTCATGCACGTAACATGAATAAATGCTGGACAATTAATGAATTATTATAAAATCAAAGCTGACTTTGTGAAAAATAAGTTATGTAATAGAAACTGAATAAATTAAATGAAAACGTCTCGTTTGCTTTATTGGGGACAATAAATCCTGGTCCTGCTTCAAGACCTCCACCACAGTCCCTGTCCCCAAGAAGCCAAGAATCACTGCACTCAATGACTACAAGTCATTTGAGCACCTGGTTCTCCTCCACCTCAAGACTTTCACAACCTCCCTCCTGGACCCCCTGTCTACAAAGTCAACAGGTATGTAGATGATGCCATCAACATCGCTCCACACTTCATCCTGCAGCATCTGGACTCCCCGGGTACCTTCTGCCAGGATCCTGTTGGTGGACTTCAGCTCTGCCTTCAACACAATCCTCCCAGACCTTCTCCAAGACAAACTGTCCCAGATGAACATGCCTGACCCCATCTGCAGGTCGATCTCTGACTTCCTGACGGACAGGAAGCAGCAGGTCAAGCTGGAGAAAAATTTCTCTGACCTGTGGACCATCAGCACCGGTTTCCCTCAGGGCCGTGTTCTCTCTCCTCTGATCTTCTCCCTGTACATCAACAGCTGCACCTCCAACCACGAGTCTGTCAAGTTTATCAAGTTTGCAGATGACACCACCATCATCGGACTCATCTCTGACAGGGATGAGTCTGCCTACAGAATGGAGGTGGAACGGCTGTTGTCCTGGCGCAGCCACAATAACCTGGTGGTAAACACCTAGAAGACAGCAGAGGTTGTTGTAGACTTTAGGAAGCACACAGCGCCACTCCCCCTCATAACCATGTCTGACACCCCCCATCTCGATGGTGGACTCATGTCGCTTCCTGGGCACCACCATCACCCAGAACCTCAAGTGGGATCCCATCATCACCTCCATCATAAAAAGGCCCGGCAGAGGATGAACTTCCTGAGGCAGCTGAAGAAATTCAACCTATCAGCACAGTTGATGAAGTTCTGCACCACAGTCATTGGGTTCATCCTCACCTCCTCAATCACCGTGTGGTACGCTGGAGCTACCACCAGGGACAAGAAGAAGCTGCAGCGGGTTGTATGCTGTGCTGAGAAGGTCATTGGCTGCAAACTCTCCTCCATACAGGAACTGTACACCTCCAGGACATTGATGCGTGCAGGTCGAATCACAGTCGGATCACAGCAGACCCGTCCCATCGTGGACACAGTCTCTTCGACTCGCTCCCATCTGGCAGGGAACTCAGATCCATTTGGACCAGAACCTCTCGCCACAACAACAGTTTCTTCCCCTCTCCAGTCAGACTCATGAACAACAATCATAGACCTGGTCACTCCAGCTGCTTTGTTCCAGTCACCTGGTCCTGTGTTGTGTTTGTACCTGAACTGACCCGCTCTGACCAGAACCTACACTGACTTGTATAAAGTAGCTGCTTCTCTAATTATTGATTCCCTATATTATTACCATTTAATTAAGTTTATTTCTTGAGTCTAATTTTGCTTTTTTCCTGCACCAAGTACCGCAGCAGTTTCCTAATGTTAGGATTCTCACACATATGGATATAAAACCTTCTGGTTCTGGTTCTAGTTCTGGTTCTGGTTCTGAGTCTGGTTCTGATTCTGAATCTGATTCTGGTTCTGATTCTGAAGGCTGGTACCCAGCACATTTTAGTGGTTGCTCTGCTCCAACACACTAGATTCAGTGGTTGAATCACCTGCAGCAGCTCATCAGGCTCTGCAGAAGCCTGTTAATCACCAGGGGCCTCATTTATCAAGCTTGCTTACGCACAAGACAGGGTTGGAAAACTGCATACGCTACTTTCCACGCAAACTTTGGGATTTATGAAAGAAAACTTTGTGGAAAAATGTGCGCAACTTTAAAGGGACTTTACAGAGTTTTGAATTTTTATGCTCGTGATTGCCCCCTCAGGCCAAAAGCGTAACGGCAGCTTCAATAGTAGGCTCGTGCATGAGGCGTGCATGCTGTACGTGTACACTCCTTAACGAAAGTAACAGCTGAGACAGTCCCGTGTGTTTGTGTGTGTGTGTGTGTGGCCTGTAGGACAGAGGACAGGAGAACGTGCAGCAAATTAAATAATTTGGTTCTGTACCTTTCTCTTCAGCACAGCCAACAAAGGTTTATGATGGGTCAGTCCTCCTGCATGCTCAGATCACTCCCTTCCCTTGCTTGAAAAATTGTTCCAAAATGAAAGTTGAACCCACATCTTTTTTATCTGTGAATTCAATGCCGTTCGGTGAGTCTCAAATAAAAATTTGGGCATCTTACTGTAAAAAAATATATCACCAATGTAAAAAAGAAACTCTAAATAAACTGTTGGTTCACATCCAGACTCAAACCCGGGTTTTCTGCATGAGAGTCCGACGACTTAAGCCTGATTTATGCTTCTCCGTCTGCGTCAGTGCAGAGACACGCAACGCCATTATCCGTCGTTGCATAGGGCTCCGGCAGGCAAGCAAGTACGCACGGAGTCGAGCCCACTTTTTTAAACATCCGTCGAACGAGACGTATTATGCAAGCTTGTGATTGGTCAGGGCGCCGCTGTTGTTTACAGCGCTGCCATTGCAAAGAGAGCCGAGGATAACTAGCGGCAGACACGGAGAAGCTTGAAGAATACCTCGCGAAAAAACTCTAAAAATATGAACGTTTAATCCTCCCATGACTGGAGGAGTGAAAATATGCGCAGCAAGCGTTTTATTTGTGGACGGAAATGACAGGAAACGTGGGTTTAGAGGCGGGGAGCGCATGAAGAGGTGGGAGAATGAGAGACAAATATGTCCGTGTTAAAAGTCTCTTATATACACAAAAAACACAATATAAACACACCATCTTGGACCGATACATGACAGGACACCACAGAACAGCGCTACGCCCTCTGCTGTCCTGCCGGGCAATTGCTTTGCAACACTCTCCAGGAGACGAAGAAGTATGAGAGCAAAATGCTTCCGTCAATCCGTGCGTGTCTGTCCCTTGCGGAGCTGACGGAGAAGCATAAACCAGGCTTTACTAGGTGAGCTAAAGCACCAGTGACATCTTTTGTATCTGTAACATTTATATCCTTGATGACAGCTGAAACAACGGTCAAAGAACGGTTCGGAGCGAAAATGGCAGTTTTGTTGCTAATTTGCAGGAAATATCTAGAAGAAAGTAGCTAAGGGTCCTCAGAAATGTAGCTAGGTTCATCACTAGGCGTTAGGAACAGCGACAATGTCGCTGAGTTGGCACTGCCTCTCTCTCTGCTGCTAAAGCTACGGATAGCAAATGCTACGGGCTATGCCTGAGCGTGAATGCGCATGAAGCAGCCTGCTCGACCCGAGCAACTCTCTTTTTCTGTGATTTTACAGAAAAACAGGCAATCACAGTAAAAATGCCAGGGCTCATTCTACAGGACCAGGGCATTGCAGGAGAATGTATGAAGAAGTAATTTATTATTTCTATACATGTTTCGGCTGTCAAACTTCCAAAATGCCCCTTTAAGTGACTAAGAACCTTGCTTACGCACATTTTGGACATGAAGAGCACCTGCAGTGCTGCTGCTGAGAAGGATAAAAGTATGAAATCCTGCAGCATTATCACTTGTACTGCTTCGTTTTCACACAGAACAAGACCCCCCCCACACACACACACATACGTGCTCGCGCACACAGCCTGATGCGCAGAATATGGAATGTAGAATATCAGCAGGGGGACAGATTGAGACAGAATGTCATGCATCTGTTACAGTGTGTGTCCTGTCACTGTAACCCGACTGATCATGCGCCCTGGCTACTTGTCTAGGGAGATCTTTGTTTGGCTGACTGGTTAGCGCGAGTGACTTTCACCCGGGAGTCTGGGAATCAAATCCCGATTGGACCATTTTTTTAATATCTGCCACAGATCTCTCTGAAGAATTCACAACATTGACGGCTTCAGCAACGCTGTGCCACTCCGTGGATTTTCTCTTTATTTGTTTTGCAAAAGTACTTCTTTTCATTTCTCCACCTCACCCACAGGTACCTCAATTTCTGCTTCTGTGAAATTGTGCTTCCTTGATCTGCCTTGATCTGCGGTCGCCATGTCATTGGCGGAGCGCTGCAACAGCTGGCTTATGTACAGGTGCTGGCCAGTAAATTAGAATATCATCAAAAGGTTGAAAATATTTCAGTAATTCCATTCAAAACGTGAAACTTGTACATTATATTCATGCAATGCACACAGACCAATGTATTTCCGATGTTTATTACGTTTAATTTTGATATTTATAGGTGACAACCAATGAAAACATCAAATCTGGTATCTCAGAAAATTAGAATATTCTAAAGGCCAATGAAAAAATGTTTGTTTCTCTAATGTTGGCCAACTGAAAAGAATGAACATGAAAAGAATGTGCATGTATAGCACTCAATACTTAGTCGGGGCTCCTTTTGCCTCAATAACTGCAGTAATGCGGCGTGGCATGGACTCGATCAGTCTGTGGCACTGCTCAGGTGTTATGAGAGCCCAGGTTGCTCTGATAGTCGTCTTCAGCTCCTCTGCATTGTTGGGTCTAGCGTATTGCATCCTCCGCTTCACAATACCCCATAGATTTTCTATGGGGTTAAGGTCAGGCGAGTTTGCTGGCCAATCAAGGACAGGGATACCATGGTCCTTGAACCAGGTGCTGGTGGTTTTGGCACTGTGTGCAGGTGCCAAGTCCTGTTGAAAGGTGAAGTCTGCATCCCCATAAAGTTGGTCAGCAGCAGGAAGCATGAAGTGCTCTAAAACTTCCTGGTAGACGGCTGCATTGACCCTGGACCTCAGGAAACAGAGTGGGCCAACACCGGCAGATGACATGGCACCCCACACCATCACTGACGGTGGAAACTTTACACTGGACCTCATGCAACGTGGATTCTGTGCTTCTCCGCTCTTCCTCCAGACTCTGGGTCCTTGATTTCCAAAGGAAATGCAGAACTTGCTTTCATCAGAAAACATAACTTTGGACCACTCAGCATCAGTCCAGTCCTTTTTGTCCTTGGCCCAGGCGAGACGCTTCTTGCGCTGTTTCATGTTCAAGAGTGGCTTGACACACGGAATGCGACACCTGAATCCCATGTCTTTCATGAGTCTCCTCGTGGTGGTTCTTGAAGCGCTGACTCCAGCTGCAGTCCACTCTTTGTGGATCCCCCCCACATTTTTGAATGGGTTTGTCGTCACAATTCTCTGCAGGGTGCGGTTATCCCTAGAGCTTGTACACTTTTTTCTACCACATTTTTTCCGTCCCTTCGCCTGTCTGTTAATGTGCTTGGACACAGAGCTCTGCGAACAGCCAGCTTCTTTAGCAATCACCTTTTGTGTCTTGCCCTCCTTGTGCAAGGTGTCAATGATTGTCTTTTGGACAGCTGTTAAGTCAGAAGTCTTCCCCATGATTGTGGTGCCTTCAAAACAAGACTGAGGGACCTTTTAAAGGCCTTTGCAGGTGTTTTGAGTAAATCAGCTGATTAGAGTGGCAGCAGGTGTCTTCTATATTCAGCCTTTTCAGAATATTCTAATTTTTTGAGATACCAAATTTGGAGTTTTCATTAGTTGTCACTTATGAATATCAAATTTAAATGTAATGAACATTGGAAATACATTGGTCTGTGTGCATTGCATGAATATAATGTACAAGTTTCACGTTTTGAATGGAATTACTGAAATATTTTCAACCTTTTGATGATATTCTAATTTACTGGCCAGCACCTGTATATGCATGAGATCCACAAGGCACTTCGCATTGACTGTTTATGGCAGTAAGTGGGCGTGGTGAGGGCGGATGTGACTAAAATGCAGCTGAGAAACATTCTCGTTAGTCTCTGATTTATGAAGCGGAGATTGCGTGCAGCTGTGCATACTCCATGTTTGATAGATCACAAACCTACTTGGCGTAAGTACTTTTTTTTGGCTGAGCTTAAGTACGGTTTTAGTAAGGGTTCTACGCAATTTTTGATAAATGAGACCCCTGCTTACTGAAGTCAGGTGTGTTGAAGCAGGGATAAAATGGCAGGACCAGGATTGGGCACCCCTGCACTAAAGGATGTACAAGAAACTGCTTCCTGCACAAAGAGAGGGAGAGAAAGATAGGAACACACAAAAATAGAACGATGACACTGCATTAAACAACATGACAATTTTACAATATTTGCTGAAAAACACAACAATTAAAAGCACATTACTGGTGGGCAGCAGTGGCTCCGGACGTAGAGTGTGTTGCCTCGTGATCGGAGGATCACGGGAATGATTCCAGCTCTCGCTAGGGGAATTCTGCTGTAGAGTCCTAGGGCAAGACACTTCACACACTTGCCTGTGTTGGTGGTGGTCAGAGAGGCTTATGGGGCCAAATGGCAGCCTTGCCTCTGTCAAACTGCCCCAGGGTGGCTGTGGCTATGTAGTAGCCTATCATCACTGACAGTGTGAGATGGTGAGAGCTTTCAGTGTCCAGAAAAGTGCTTTATAAATCCAATCATTTATTATTGTCATTCTTAATAATAATCAAGATAATGTGTTAAAAACACTTGAGTTCATACTTGTGAGAACACCATGTGAGCACCTGTGTGCGACATGCTTGTGTATGTAAGGTTTCTCTACAGGAGTGGCCATCATGCCACTTACACACTAGCATCGGCTCCGCCCGCCCCAGCCGGGCCGCGTTCCTTCCACAATGCCTTAGGAACGCAGACATGATTGAGCACATGGACATTGTCTGTGATGTCATGAGTGCATCTACGAGCACGTGGGCGGGGCAAAAGAGCGTGGAGAAGTCTGCGGTGTCTTTGAAACGAAAGCGGCCTGAGCAGTCTTTGGAGACTCTGACTTTGATTTTGCATCCTGGTTTGCTGCGTCTGGCAGCACTGTGTGTGTGTGTGTGTGTGTGTGTGTGTGTGTGTGTGTGTGTGTGTGTGTGTGTGTGTGTGTGTTTTGTTCTTCGAGCACTGGTCCAAACCACCTGACCAGTGTGTCCAGAACATTATAATTAAATAATTTCACTCAGCAGGAACTTTTCACCCATGGCCCAAACGCACTCCGTCCTTCTACTCTGCGTAAACTTGAACACGTCCAACCCGGTCTCACATGAGACCAGGTGTACAGGTCACCTGCTGGTGTGTAATCAGATGTCTCTATAGGAGCTTTCTGAGCTGAAGAGGATGTGAGCTTCTGGACTTTTCCTCAGACAGGCTCATGGATTCATCGCCACATTGGAGACAGGAACAAGCGCTATTCAGCCACTCTTTGATTGGAAAAGGTTGCTGACCCCTGAGCTAGCTCATCTAGCCAGGGCCCACAGCAGCAGCATCCCAGAGCCCCTCGGAGCCAGAGCCTGTCCACTCAGCCCCACCCTAGCAGAATAAAATACTTCATCACTGCATTTGGTCAACTTCCAGACTAAACATCAGACACCCAGTCAGAGCTGGGTCCTCTCCCTACCGGAGATGTCCCCCTCCCATGGTGGAAAGTAGTAGAATAATTCTTGCCAGTTAAGGAGGAACCAATGTCTACCCAAGGCCCCTGGGGCCAGGCATGATCAGCGCCGAATGCACCTGCCCATACCACCGGCAGCATACAAGCCAAGACCCTATTCCCATAGGCCCAGCTCACACCTCCATCTGGGGACTATCAACCCCAGTGCCCACCAGGCCCTCGCCCAGACCCACTCCAGACCCACTCCAGACCCCCCAGAGCCCCACACACGAGTGCTACAAGGACACCTGAGCTTAGATTTCTAAAAACGTTGTGTTATTTCACAATTTAATATTTATTCATAAACAGTAGATACATATTTAATAATGTATTATTTATTTCTCGAACACTTTGAGTTCCATATATTTTTAGCTTTTCTTAGATTCCCAGGTTCTCATTCTGCCGCTGCCGAGGTGGCGTATTTTCTCTTCACACTTGGTCCTATTTTCAATGTGGTTTCTCTTGTGCCTCAGAGAGCTGAAAAACCCCTCCACAGCGTGTTTTAAATAAATATCCCTTCTCTGGAGCCTTGGAGCATGGCTATTTTAATCTTCCTTATGATTAACGGTTATTGGGTTTCCTCTGGTGTGCTGAGCTGATGTGGAGTAACCCTAACCCATCCACATGTTGCTATGGTAACCAGACTGACTGACATCTCTGCTCTCAGACAACAAACATTTGTGAACAAGAACAAAACTTCTCCAATCAGAACATCAGACAACTCCTTAAATGTAAACTGTAAATGACAACAGAATGCAACTTTCAGTCTGTAACTCTACGGTTTTTCAGATTTAGTTTTAATGTGGAGCCGTTTTGTCATTTATCGTGACTGGAACCTCTCCTCCGTCCCGATCGCGTTTACAACTTTTACTTTTAGCCACCTGGTTCCCCCTGACCTCAGAGAACTTCTACTTTGGCAACCAGTTAATCGATTTCGCTGTTTTTATGGGAGGAGCGCAAGGACTTCCCTCATGAGCTTTAGAGGATGTGACGTCACCAAATATGTTTAGTTGAGGGTGTTTCTGTAAGAAGATAACTGATTGGACATGGACACCTGGGTGCACACAGGTGGGTTTAATGATTAGTAGATTGTGGAGGAACATGCGTACGAGAGGCCACCTCATGTTTCAGGAATCAGGATTTTGGCCGTTTGTACGAACATTCATTCAGCTAACTAGAGCTGCACCAATTCTGGGTTGTAGAGCTGCTTCCAGGTTCTTCTGCAGCCCTCTGCTGCCTGTACTTTATTAAACTTGAAGACACAAACCACCCTGTGATGTTTGAATAATGTTTTAAATCTCTTCTGAAATGCAATAGCATCTCACACACGGAATACAAACGTACATTTCCAGTAGAAATGCTTGCACTGTGACTTTCTGAGCCTTGTTCGCTGTTGCAGACATGTGCATTGCCTCGGCCATCTCTCTGCTGATGATCCTTATATGTGGAATGGCAACATACGGAGCATTCAAGGTCAGCAATGATTCTCTGTGCACCTGAGACGTGTATACATATGTCTATAAATGTCTTCATGCTGAATTTCAGTGACATTAGGTGAATTTGTTAGTAGAGATTACAAATTAAATCCATGGTTTCTATTTTTAGACTCTAACACCTACAATCTGGGTTTCAGCTCCGTGCCGCATGGCTCATCCCTTTCTTCTGCTACCAGATATTTGACTTTGCTCTCAACACCTTGGTGGCTGTCAGCATTGTGGTTTACCCAAACACCATCCAAGACTACCTACAGCAGCTGGTAACTCTAGAAGGACACGTCTAACAGACTGTTGACCTTGATTCCTTGCTGTTTATTAACAGTTTTATTCGGACTGCTGTCCAGCCTGATAATTTCCCCTATAAAGAGGAGGTGGCCTCGCTCAGTAACGTCTGCCTGGTCCTGATAGTGTTGCTCTTCATTGGCTGTATTCTTGGCTTCAAGGTAAGGCTTTTTTCAATCCATTCAAACCCCCACCACTTTTGGACAGAACCAGTGAGATACAGCGGTGTGTTGAAGTTTGTGAACCTGTTAGAATGATCTAGCCTAGAAATCTAGACAGACAGTTGCTGATGTTTGTCTAGCCACGCTCCATAGCAACCTCAGTAGGCCTAAACAGTTTGGTGTTATCCCAATCACATCGTCCTATCTGTTTAGTGAGCCAATCACAGAGCTCTACTCGTTTGGTGAGCCAATTCCTATTGTTTACTTTGTGAAGTGCATGCAGACTAATCTTGAGATGATTTGGTGAATATAAATAAATGGAATTCAATTACAGCACTCGATTTGGTGGGCAGGATGTTACTGCAACTGAGTGAATCTAAGATGGCTTTGGCTCATTGAAACATCTTTGGCATCCATTTTGGACTGTTTAGACTTGGGGTTTTCTTTGAGTCAACAGCAGATGAAGGTACCTGAGTCCGTTATTTAGAAAAAGGATGTATTTTTGTCATCTTCTACAATTTATAGTGGACTACTCATTGACTGGTATCTGTAGAGGTGAGTATGTCACGTTGTTCATTGTCCGATTGCAAGTGGAGACTGAAAGACAACCATAGATTTTACCATACAACTGAGATCTGTCTATGGGTCGTGGCCAGACTACACATTCACAAATATAGGATGGGTTGCCAGTATAAGAATGATCTACAGTTCTGCTTAACTTAACTTTAAACATCTGAAAAAAGGTTATTGATGCTCATCTGGTTAGAAAAGTCACAAAACCATCTTGAAGCATTCAGACTCCACCAATCCACATTAAGACAGGTTGTGTACAAATAGAGGAAGTTTGAGACCATTGATGCTTTCCTGGAGTGGTTGACTAACTAAAGTCAGGCTAAGAGCATGGCGTGGAACAGCCAGCCTGGTCACAGAGGACCCAGGGAAACCGAAGGCCTCTCTTGCTGAACAACAGTGTGCATGGCAGGGTTGCTGCTCCTATATCTGCTCGTCTGCATTTGACTAACGATCACTTGGACAAGCCAGAAGGCTGCTGGAGAAAATGTCTTGGGGACAGATGACACCAAATGAGAGCTTTTTGAATTGAATGAAAAGTGTTATGTTTAACATTGAATTCCAGCATACACACCATATCCTGATAAGCCTGGTGGTCGTACTATTATGGTTTGTCCATGAGCTGAGTCGCATGCAGCAAGATTTGTGTGAAACTCTGATGATGTTTCAGGTCAAATTTAAGCAGAAATGTAGACAAACATTTAAGCCCCACTGTATTCTGAGACCTTTCTGTCAGCACATTCCTGGAGTCCGTATTGAAATCCCAGAGCTGTCACGGTTTTAAAGAGGCTTTGCGTCTGGTTTAGAGCAGTAAGAAAGACAGCTGACCAGCTTTGGATCTGTGGAGCAGATGGTGTTGTGTATGCTAAAGGGTTCCAGCAGCTAGCCGCTTGCTCAGACAGATCATTTCTGGACAGCAGAGAACAACGGGAACGTGTTTCTATATGAAGTCGTCTATAAAATCAAAAGAGAACGTTTCAATGCTAACTAAGAGTATATGTTTCTTGGTGCGTGCAGACTTAGACCACGTGCACCATGATGCATGTGTGCAGGAAATTCACTTAGTGCACAGCTTGTTTTTGGGATGAGAGGACTTCACTTCAGTTTTGAAAACCTTTACCTCTAAAGTGAGAATGTTCTGTTCAGAGAGTTGACACACCATTTTAGCAATCAGCAATCTTTCGTAAAACGGACTTATTATTTTCACGGTCTGACCACTTATCAACAGATAGTTTTATAAAAGCCTTAATCTGGTGTTTCCAGCTGTGTGATGTTGGCACAGGACCAACAGGTTTATTAGGAACAATAAAAAGTGTTTCATCAGTTCCTTCTCCACAGTGGAGTTGAAAAACACAAATATTTGCCACAAATTTCATCTTGATATTTGTGGTGATGCTATAGTAAATATAGAAGATAGTCATCTTAAAGGTGCATTATGTAGAAATAAAGTAAAAATGACATAATGTGGTAAAATGTGGTTACTGCAACACCTTTAAACAACTCAGGAGCTTTTTCCATCAAATTGCAAGTGAGCGCTGCTGCATTAGCTTGCAGGAGACGCGACACCCCACACTCACTGATGGTATGCAGTCTTTACGGCCCTCCTTCCTGTTTTGAAAGGAGAAAAACCGACAACCCAGCAGCTGGATATAAGACATGCTTCAGTAGAACCTTCCTTCCTAAAGACTGAAGCATTAGACTCTTTTGGGATTTTCTCACTGTAAAATTCTCATACTGCACATTTAAATGAGTGAGTGAATGTGATTCCAGGCATATCTGATTGCGTGTGTATGGAACTGCTACAGATATGTGAGCGGCAGAGGTGGCTCTGAAATCCTGCTCTATGTTACAACCAATGACACCATGGTAAGTCACAATTAATCCTGTAACCCCGTCTTTATTTATGAGGAATACTGTTAGTCAGTATCCTTCAACTACGCACATTCAATCTAATTTTATACCAATTTAACATGGTTTCACCAGTTTCTTCAGATAGGAGTAAAATATTACTTTCAGTCAAGTTTGAATGAATCAAAGAAAAATCACCAGTAGAAAAGACTCGGTGCGCATTAATCCTTAATGAATAGAATAGAATAGAATAGAATGCCTTTATTGTCATTGTACAAGTACAATAAAGTAGTGCCATCTCCTATGGTGCATAAAAATGATAAAAACAAGAAGAAAAAACACTAAAACACAAATGCACTCACATTCACACCCTCATTCCATTACTGCTTTTGTAACGATGTGTAGGTGGTTACTTTTAATAAAATACCAGAAGAATATAAAGGTATTAAATGTAATATTCCATAAAAACATGGATTATCAATATTATTGATCCTTTAATATTTGATTGATGATGAAACTAGGTACTTTGGTTAATCAGGGAAACAACATTTTGTAATAATTTGACACAGAGAAAAAAATATATAAAAATCTATTTATATTAATGATGATGAAAGGCTAATGATTATAAATGGTGATTAACAGTGATATTAAATGAGACAATGAATGAACTCTGATGAAACATGACCTTGTGTGTTTAAGAGCTTCACTAATGAAAGGTGTGATGTCTGGGTTTGTAAAATAAATTTGACACATTATTAAGTTAATATTAACCACTCCGATGCCATTGGATGACCTACACACCATGGATAGTGGAAGTTCTTGGAGATCCGGTCTGCAAGTGAAGCGTGGACTTCTGATGTATCTGAAGATCGTAAGGGCCCCCTCAGAGTATGCACGACTGGTTAAGAAATACTTCTGGCGGATGGTTACACGTCTGATGAGTGGGTGTTGGATTGAGCAAATAATAATTGTTGATTGAAAAAGGGTGATGGTTCTTTGAGCTGCTAAAGTTATTCCACTTAAAAATCTGGTTTGATTCCCCAGGATGGTCATTTAGCATGAGCTGTGAGCTTTGGATGAACTCGGAGCTCTGGCAGAACTGGGAAAATAGGAAATGATTTCACTTTTAAGAAATGGTTGTTTATAAACTTAGACCAGCCAGAACTAAGAAATGTGTCTAGGAGTTTACCAAGACCCTCGGACGTCACACGTTCCTCAGGCCCTCAGAAGAGGCTGGTTCCACTCAGTGTGAAGTAAAACATTAATTTGTTAATATAGTGATATTAATATGTGTAACTGATAATAAATCATTATTAAATCATCAAGTAGACTCATTTATTGTATTTAAGATTTGAAATAAGTCATGAAATAAACAGATATGTGAGGCAGAGCTCTTCCTGGCAGCTGAATTGAAAATGAAAGTAAACACGAGCCGTAAGTTTTGCTCTTTGAACAAAATCAGCTGAGATGGCAAACTGGAGCGCTGCAGTGCTCCTCGAGCTTCTCTTCATTCGAGCTGGAGCTCAGATCACCAGAGACTGCACGATTCAATTCAATTCAACTTTATTTCTATAGCACCAAATCAGGACCAGAGTGGTCTCAAGGACCTTCACACAGTAAACAATACAGATCAGGTCATAAAGCCAATCAGTTATGTTTCCTATATAAGGAACCCAGCAGGTTGCATCGAGTCACTGACTAGTGTCAAGTCTTTACAGCAATCCTCATACTAAGCAAGCATGTAGCCACAGTGGAGAGGAAAACTCCCTTTTAACAGGAAGAAACCTCCAGAGGATCCTGGCTCAGTATAAAGCCTGGTTTATGCTTCTCCGTCAGCTTTGCAAGGGACAGACACGCACGGATTGACGGAAGCGTTTTGCTCTCATACTTCTCCGTCTCCTGGAGAGTGTTGCAAAGCAATTGCCCGGCAGGACAACAGAGGGTGTAGCGCTGTTCTGTGGTATCCTGTCATGTATCGATCCAAGATAGTGTGTTTATATTGTGTTTTTTTTTGTATATAAGAGACTTTTAACACGGACATATTTGTCTCTCATTCTCCCACCTCTTCATGCGCTCCCCACCTCTAAACCCACGTTTCCTGTCATCTCTGGCCACAAATAAAACGCTTGCTGCGCATCTTTTCACTCCTCCAGTCACGGGAGAATTAAACGTTCATATTTTTAGTTTTTTCGCGAGGTATTCTTCAAGCTTCTCCGTGTCTTCCGCTAGTTATCCTCGGCTCTCTTTGCAATGGCAGCGCTGTAAACAACAGCAGCGTCCTGACCAATCACAAGCTTGCGTAATCCGTCTCGTTCGACGGATGTTTAAAAAAGTGGGCTCGACTCCGTACGTACTTGCGTGCCTGCCGGAGCCCTACGCAAGGACGGATAGTGGCGTTGCGTGTCTCAGCACTGACGCAGACGGAGAAGCATAAATCAGGCTTTAGCAGCCATCCACCATGACTCACTGGGGATGGAGAAGACAGAGCACACACACACACACACACACACACACACACACACACACACACACACACACACACACACACACACACACACACACACACACACACACACACACACACACACACACACACACACACACACACACACACATTCTGGTTTTTGCCCCTTATGAGGCCCGCCGGTTTTTCTATGCTTTATGGGATCCACCCTTTCCAGTGGTCCTACATCGCTTTTAAAAACAAGGTTAGATGTAAAAAAAAAATCTAAATCATTAATATCACTTCAATTTAACACATTTCTAAAGTTTTGACCAAAAAGGTATTTGGCCACTTGTGGGGACCGTTTCTAGCATTGCATACTTGTGAGGTCCATTCACATACACACGTACATATCAAGTTTTTATATGTTAATGGGGCCCAAGGTCACTATCTGCAGCTACTGATTCCAGTCTTTATTATTACTCCCAGTTTCCTCATGTTGGACTAAAATAGTTTTTTGTAATAAGTGATTATGTATATGTGTGAACATTTCTATCTGCGATGACAGATTACAAGACATTCAGCTTCAAAGACAGTTTAATAACAAAATTGAAATGACCAATTTAATTACATTTTATGCCATATGCTTGTGATTTTTTTAATTATTAAATCATTAATCTAATCTCCACTGAATGTTTTAACAATATCAGTTTGAAGTTCTATGCAAACCCAACATTTTTTGTTACATTGGCATTGAAATTATGCGTTTCATTGGACTGCATTCAAAATGCCTTGTTATTACAGGTGTAAAAAATATACAAAAAAAACCTGTGAAATGTTTTTATTTGTACACAACTGAACAGCCATAAAACCTGAGCAAACCCTTACAAAAACAACAAAAAGTAACAACAAACACAACAAAGGACAAAACATTTTGACATCCAATGTTTTGCTTTTACCTCCGTTCAATTAGGTGCTTTCATACTACTTTTCTTCTCAGGGCTGTAATGCGATTTTTAACATAATATTTAACAGCTTTCCAGTCTCTGTTTCTGAGAGCTTCAGGTGCAGCAGTAATACAGCGCTGACACTCTTCTTTACCAGGAACTTGACTCCTCACGATAAATCTCCTCAAATGTTTGTCCACTGCAGCACACTCTTCTGGGGTCCAGCTTCTCTTGACAGCTGTTTGTTTTTCTGTGTGGACAAAAACAAAACAATGTAGGTTTTCTTTTATAAAGAAGTTTTAATCTTAATTAACACTGTAAGACCCACTGTTTTAGAATTACAACAATTTTGGTTATTGTCCAAAATTATTCCACAAATTCAGTCTCATAAATCCCCAAGGCCCTCTGATGGTGGTCAGCACAAAACTTACTGCATGTAAACAAATCAGGTAACAGAATTCCATTTGTACCATTTCCATGTACTTGAAGAGAGGTCCAGAGTCTGGGGGCTACAGCAGCAGATGATCTGTCACCTTTGGTCTTTTGCCTTGAGCTGGACTAACAGTAGGCTTTGGTCACTGGACCTCAGGGACCTGCTGGGGTGTAGGGTCTGAGAAGAGCACCAAAGTATGGTGGTGCTTGCCCATGTAAGGCCCTAACAACCAGAACCACGATCTTGAAATGAACCCTGAAGTTGACTGGCAGCCACTGAAACTGGAGGAGAAGCGGGGTGATGTGGGTGTGTTTGGAGGTCCTGGTTAGAAGCTGAGCTGACAGGCATTCTGAACCACCTGTAGACGGTTCAGGGAGGTTCTGCTCAGACACGTGAAAAGAGTTGCAGTAGTCCAAGCGTGAGAAGATGAAGGTGTGGAGAACTGTCTCAAGTTCAGAGCAGGACAAAATGGGACTCAGCTTTGCAATGTTCCTGAGATGAAAGAAGGAAGAGCGAACAAGAGAACGGACTTGAGAATCCAGGGTGAGAGCCGGGTCAAAGGTCACACTAAGACTCCTGACGGAGGGTTTGGTGTGAGAAGCAAGCTGACCAAGATCTCTGACTTTGGGAACCAGCTTGTCTGGGGCACAGATGAGGATCTCAGTCTTATCTTCATTCAGCTGAAGAAAGCTCCCAGCCATCCAGGTTTTGATAGAGTCTAAGCAGGTGTGTAACAGCTGCAGCTTAGACATCTCATGGGGCTTAAAGGAGATGTACAGCTGGGATGTCATCTGCATAAAGATGGTAGGAGATTCCTCTGAAAGAGCTCAGGATGTGCTGAAGAGGAATCAGAGGAAGATAAGTAGAGGCCCCAGTGCAGAACCTTGTGGGACACCATGGGTGAGGGAGGTGGTGGAGGACCTTGGAGATGGCCATAGCGTTTTTAAAGTAAGCAGGGACCTGACCATAAACCAGAGAAGCATTAATTATAGAGAGCACGCTGGGATCGATGGACTGAGAAGCACTTTTAAACAAAGATGAGGGTAAGATGTAGAGGGGGCATGCAGAGGTCTTCATAGAGTTGGCTAGTTTGGTTAACTCAGGCAAAGAAACAGGAGCAAAGCTATGTAGGATGATGGGCCTGGTTGGAGTGGGGAGAGGCGGCGATAAGGCTGAAGGAGAGATGCTAGATCTAACCTTATTGACTTTGTCCACAAAGAAAGACAGAAAGTTCTCACAGTCTGCAACAGAGTGAATGGAGGCTGTAGGAGAGGCAGGGGAGAAGATGCTGCTGATGGTGTTAAACAGCACCTTGGGATTCTCTTTGCTCTGGGACACCAGGTTGGAGAAATAGTCAACCTTTGCATCTCTGACTGCAGAGTTAAAGGAAGTCAGAAGATTCTTTAGATGCAGCAGATGGACATGGAGACGGGTTTTCTTCCACAAGCGCTTGTAACAACAACAAGCTACTGACCATCAACCTCTGTGACGGGTCAAACTGACCCGACATGTGCCTCTGCTTTTACCTGGAGCCGAGATGGCTGCTGAGACACACTCTCCTTCTGCAAGGACGGCAGAGGCTGGGTTCTGATAACCAGTCGTCAAGGACGCAGTGTGGGGAAGGAGGACAGCTGAACTGTTCATCTTATGATTTTAATAAAGAATGAGATCTGTTGATGAATTAATTAATATGATCAGCTGCTGAATCAATTTGTGATCAAACTTGTAAATGATGTTTAATGGAGATGATGTGATCACGAATAATACACCACATATTGTTAAACACACAGCAGGCAAGAGCAGAGCTTCTCAAGGGCAAAGACGTCACGATCTGGGAATGCCCCGGGAAGGGGGGTCGTTCTACAAAACTACTGACAAGCGAGCCGAGAGTCAGTTCGTTGAGACTTCACAGGGCCCGTGAATTCCTCTTCGACAACATCAGAACTTTGGCACGCTGCCAGGTTCTGGACACTTGCAAGCAAGCTGAAAACACCAACTGAGTTCCACCGTCAACCGTGGAACGGTTTGCTTAAACTTGAGCCAATCAGAGACTGATTTTGACCAGTGGACTTTAACCTCAAAGCCTCACGGATTGGGAGACCAGCTGGGAGCGACCGTGTTCCTCCATCGACCGGGGTCCGTCCAAGACACCCCCCAGGTGATTTAGGGCACTCATGATCACTTCTTGTTCCAAAGCGACACAGTAGACTAACCCAAAACATCATTTCTGTTTCAGACAGATGAACTAAGCCCTCAGCTAAGCTCTGCTCTCATGCACATTTTAGCTCATTAAACATCAGGGAATTGTTAACTGTGTGAGATTTTAAATTGTGATTTATAAATTAAATTCTTTAAAAATTGTTGAAGGTTGATCTTTATTCAAGCGAGTCTAAATACCTGAGAATAAAAAGTTCTTTAGGTCTTCTGAGAAAAATAAGCGTTGTCCGAATTAATATTCAATCAATATTAATCATTTCCAAAGGTTGTTAAAATAACATTCCTTATTTCACGTAAAGGGAGCATTCTCCACTTTAACACGCTCAATTTTTCTGCATTGGCGCTTTAGGCTGCAAAGGCTGTCATTAAATGATAATGATAAATGACCCGCACTTGTACAGCACCTCTCAGAGTAAGGACTCCAAAGCGCTTTACACTACAGTGTATCATTCATCCATTCACACACACATTTACACACTGATGGTGATGAGCTATGATGTAGCCACAGCTGCCCTGGGGTGCACTGACAGAGGCGAGGCTGCCGAGCACAGGCGCCACCGGTCCCTCTGACCTCCACCAGCAGGCAAGGTGGGTTAAGTGTCTTGCCCAAGGACACAACAGCAGCATTCTCTGTCCGGAGCCGGGATCGAACCTGCAACGTTCCGATTACTGGACAACCCGCTCAACCTGTTGAGCTACTGCTGCCCCCAGGAAGTAGGGTTCACTGCAGGAACTGATCTGGTTCTGACAGGACAGATGTTGTCCAGAATGGAAATGCAGTACTTGTTAAACTGAGAAGTTAAGGAATCTGGGTCGTTATCAGAAGAACAGGGTGGATCAATAGCAGCAGAAAATTTGCTAGCTGTGCTCTCATTAAGAAAACGAGAACTAACCAGAAGGTGAGCAGGAGGTGGGGAAACTGACAAGTTAAAGATAACGCAATGGGGATCTGAAATATGAACATCCTCAGGACAAACACTACCAGCATGTAGACCCAAAGTAAAAACAAGGTCTAGAGTGTGTCCCTTGGTGTGTGTGGGGCCAGAAACATGCTGGGTAAAGCTGAAGGAGTCAGGAGGCTGGACAAGGTAATGAGAAAGTGGTCTGAGGCATCATCGTAGATGTAGGGCTGGGCAATAAATCGAAAATGTATCACTATCGAAATTTCTGCCTCTTATCGAGATAATTTTTCCCATGTCAATAAATTTGATTAAAAAAAAGGTGTGTAAGTTGGCAATGTTCATGTCCCTTTAAGAAGCTGTACCACCTTGAGTCACATAAAAATGTGATTCAACGTAATACATGTGACAGCCCCATCTAGTGAACAACTTTTGTTTCTGCACATACCTGTAGTTATCGTCCATTTATCGTTATTGAGGTTCAAATCCTCAATATATCGTGATATTGATTTTAGGCCATATTGCCCAGCCCTATGTGGATGTTAACATAACCAACAATAACCAGTCTGGACAGCTTCAAGGTGGAGGATAGAAAGACACTAAACTCCTTAAGAAAAGAACTGTTTGGACCAGGAGGACGATAAACCATGGCACAGTAAAACGGGTCCTTATGCCCTAGAGTGCAAGAGAGTGCAAGCCCTTACCTCTCTTTTTTGCAGAGACAGTCTGGTTTTGGACTTGTGGCGTGGAGGTACATTCTTGCAGGGATGACATGCTGACCTCATGTTCTGACCCCTCTTCTGGCATACTGACATCTGGATCAAGAAATAACTTTATTAAAGTATACAATACACAAAATATGTAATAGCCGTCAGTATAGTGGTTGTTATTTTATAAAATAAGTATATGGAATTTGTGTCTCTTAAAGGGAGAGACGGAATTTCATTCTGTCTCCTATTCTAAATCATTTTCAAGTGACTAGTGAAGTAAAAATATTAATTATCATGTTAGCCCAGGGATGGCCAACTTCACTCTTTAGGGACCCACATCCTACAGGTCTGAGATGTTTCCCTGCTTCAACACGCCCGATTCAAGTTAAATAGATCAAACAGCTTGTTGCCAAGCTCTGCACAATGAATCAGGTGTGTTGCAGCAGGGAAACATCTAAGACTTGCAGGATTGTGGTCCTCAAGCAATACATTTCCTCATATAGTGTACAGACGAAAGACTGTCCTACACAGCCCACTAGTGCTGAAGTAGCTGTACGCCTCAAAGATTGGATGCTGGACAACATAAAATGAACTGATTTCTTAGGTGTGTTCTTACTGTGTCGTGGTTCTAATTCCATGCTTTCGTTCTTTTTTAAACACAGAAACTGTTTTGCTTACCTACAGTTTCACCGACGGCAGCCGTCGGCGAAAATGTAGCTACAAAACAGGTAAACAAAACTGTTTCTGTGTTTAAAAAAGAACGAAAGCATGGAATATGAACTGATTTCACCAGACAGCGACCGTTGTTACTGACATTACAAGTAGCGTTATAGTTAAGGTTAGTGTGCACTTACCTACTGTTTATAGGTTGCTCCAATCTCAGGGCACAGACTTCATGGAGAGATTGCATGGCTATTAAGACATTTTTTCTCCTCAATTCTGCACGAGTACACAGTTACAGCGAGTGGAGAACAAGTACATAGTTGAAGAGGAAAAATGTCAAGATGAGGCTGAGCGAGTTTAGTTCATGTCATCTAACCCGATGGCATACAGTATGCGTTTAAGCCAGTGATGAGGAGGAGGGGCGCAGCGGCTACGGACAAAGATGACAGTGAGGAGAGGGTTGGCAACCCTTTGTAGTGCAAATGCGGTCACTGCTCAGCCGTGGAGCAACAACCGTGGAGTCCGTTTGCTGCCATGAAGGAGACTTGGATAATGATAGGTATTTTTAAAATGCTCCTCTTTTTAAGTAATAAAATAATAAACTTGTGGATTAAAGGGTTTTTTCTTATCCTCAGTTGTTTTCAGTTAAAGGGCCTTTTTGTCCTCTTCACTTGGTCTTACAGGATGGTTACATTGGAGGTTGCAAGAGTGAGTGGTAACTCGTAGCTTTGGAAACTGAATTCCTGGCTGTCAGTCATAAATTAAGTAGCCAGCAGGTTTTGGCTTTCAACAGAAACTCTGTGACTTGAGAAATCCCCGCCTTAGACATGCGGTGGTTGGCCAAACCTCCTGACAGAGATTTACGGGTCTTTGTTTGGAAGATTGTGGGTGGAATAAAACCATTTGGAGTGCAGGGGACTGACCGAGAGCTGAGGTGTCGAGAGGCCTGGAACAGGCTTCAGGCGTGTTGGCTCTCCGCTGCTTGTTCTGACAGTGTAAAACCCTCTTTTCCTTCTATTATTAATGTTTGTCACGTGTGTCTTAATGTACTGTACGTGCATATAAATATATGTGAGTCCTTTCTTGTAATAAAATCCTTCTTTGAATCTATTTTTGTCCGTCTCTCTCACCCATGTATGAGGTAAACGTGATTTAAATTGTTCTAAATAAAACTAATCTTTTAATCTTCCCCTTGTGCAATCACAATTATTCAGCAGAAAATGTGCTCAGGGAACTGTCCTGCGTCACTTTATCGTGGACCTACCAGATGTTCTATAATGAGAGGTGTTTTGTAGCTATGCTATCCCTGCGTGAAGTCCACGCAGAGAGATTGAAGCAACCTATAAGCAGCAGGTGGATGCACGCTAACCTAAAAGTTAAAGCTGCTTGTAATGTAAGGCAGTACTAACCCAATGTTCAGTTTTAAAACTGGGGTTGTGTTTGACTGTGTTGATTGTGCAGCCTCTGCATCAGACAGGTCTCCTGACAGAGTTGCAGGAGGAGGAGGTGGTTGGGACAAAGGAGGGAGATGGGGTTGTTGATGCTAATTTTTGTCATGCACTGTGTGAAAATGCACCAAAGGTAAGAACTGCATTGAAGCTCACCTGTTGCAGACACTCTTTGGTTTTGACTTTCTGATATGGAGGTACATTCTTGCCTGGATGACATGCTGACCTCATCGTCTGACCCCTTGTCACCTAGCATACAGACATCTGGACATAAATAATTACTTGTAAGAATAAAATACACAAAACAGGTAAAACAGATAATTTAGCATCAATTTAAGAACATTGCATACGCATACCTTCAATGTCCTCTGCTAAAGGTCCCTCCATGTGAATGGTCTAAAAAGATAATTGAACAAATATTGGAAAGCTGAACTTGTGGGCAATCTGCAAAAGTATACAACTATAGAATTATTCTCTTATCCGGTCATCATTACTCTTAGGGCAGGAAATTAACTTTTTCATCCACCAGATTCAAAATTTTACTGGCCACTCAATGTTCTTAATGCCGCCTTTACAAGAAAGGATAACCACAGGGTGACTTGCAATAGTGGATATTTCATCAAGGGAAGGAAAAAGCATTTGGACACAAAATCCTCGATAACTTTAAGTAAATGACGTGTTTTCACCAGCTCCAGACTAGTGAATTTCAACGCAGCAGCAGCGGTGATGTTCGCACGTCCTTTCCTAATAATACCGCCTATCATGTTAACGTCATTAGCTTTATACATACACCCCCACACTAGCAGGCTCCAGCGACTAAAGTCTATGCTGTGGTGAGATTTTTTCCCACTCTGTTGAAGAACAAGAAGAAAATATCATTTCTATAGCGCCTCTCAAGATAAAAATCATGAGGCGCTTCACAAAAACGAAAACAAAAAGTATAAAAAATTGTAAAAATATAAAAAACCACTTAGAAAATGTTTTAAAATATATTTAAAATGAGCAAGAATAGGCAATTGCAACTTAAAAGAAAAAATGTTAAGAAAGAGAGAGAGTGACTAGGAAAGAGGGAAATCAGTGGATCCTGAGGAAGGTGGAATAGGTGGGGAGAGCCGAATAAAGAGAGAGGGGTGAAGAAGGTCATACAAAAGCCAGCTTGAACAAGTGAGTCTTCAGCTGCTTTTTGAAGGAGACCACTGAGTCCACTGATCTCAGGCTCAGGGGGAGAGAGTTCCAGAGTCTGGGGGCCACAGCAGCAAATGATCTGTCAAAGCTACAGCAATACTGCACCGAACAAGAAGATGGCTCTGCCTTCACAGGAAGCATAAAGGAGAATAGTTTGGAAAGATTTTTCCAACCAATACAGGTACAACTAATAATTTATCATAGATAAACCGACAGTTATGATGCAGGAAGCCATGTGCTATTAGTTGTTTGCCACCACGCGTCCAGTGAAGAGCACAGCGAGGAAGACGTGCTGCTGCCTAGACTCTCCCGGTGTGAAAAGGACCGCTTTGAAGTTTGCGAGTAAACCGTTTCGCTGTTGTTTTGTGCCACTGATGCTTCCAGTGTGAAACTGGGGACAAGTTTTCTGGCGGCAGCATAGGCGTATCACTGCCCCAAATGATCAGTTGCATAACACATTTGAATGTGCTGTACTGCCAACATTACCTGCCAGGTGTGTGGCTTGATGATTGTGACCCCCCAATAAGCCATTTCGGTACTGCGTTGTGCGCAATGCATTCTGGTGTTTTGGACCCTAAACTGACAGAAGCGAACATACATATAGATAGGGAAAGCGGCAAAATTTATGATTTGAACAGTGGAAAGTTGATGAACTGAAAACATATTCGCCTTAGAGGGCTGCCTGTGAAAGAACTAAGTGCACTAGCGTATGCAGCTACAGTGCAGAAACTATTGTTTTGACGAAATAAGTGGCGTAGTTAAGGCTGATTATACCAGCTTTTGACATTTCATGGAGGGACAATCCCAGACCCACAAACGCTATTAGAAAGACTGGGAAGGAAAAATGTTGGCATGTAGAAGCGACCTCAGCTACTTTTCATCCCAGAGCTCATGCATTCAAGATGTGCTGTATCATAATATCGCAGGTATTTTCTTGCTTGTGAAATGTCTGTGTTATGGGTAGCAGTTAGAACCTAGCCTATGAGCTTTTGCCATGCTTTTAAATTCTTACAATTTGTATTCATGTATGGGTTTTTTACTTCTTAAAACCTGTAAGAGTCCGGATAAGGCTGTGATGCCCTGGCCGCCCACTGAATGGGACAAGCATGTATGCCCCCATCCTAACTGGAATGCATCCGTGAAAATAGAAACATGTGACATTGCACGACCAAGAGAGACTCCAAGCATCAAGATGTCGGGGTTCCCCCAGTGCTCCAGATCTCGTTTTACTGAGAGAGGAATGGGCAGCATATGTTGTTTGTGATGCAGCAGGTTTATCTTGAGATATCTGAACCAGCATTGGATGCGTGTCATATGTTGCAAACCAAGAGGAACTGCTATATGGCCTGCAGCCATCAAGCCAAGCAGCTTCATCACTGTAAGAGCTGTCACAGTGTGGCGAGGTTGCATGTGGCTGATTACGTGTGTTGAGACTGGGAGAGGTAGGCTCTCATGATGCTGGAGTTCAGCTTTATGCCCAAAATGGTGATCAGCTGTGATGGGATCACAGAACTTTTCTCCCAATTTATGGAGAAACCGAACATCCTAACGTGATTAGATGTTCTGTTAGTGTTCTCATCTGTGATTCCACGTCGGACTCTGAGGGAGCCAGAAGGAGCAGATAATCCAGATAAAAAGAACCATCAAGCCCACCGTGCGTAATGGCTGAAGCAATGTCTCTAGACAACTCTAGAAGGTGCAGGGAGAGAGGGAGTAACTGAACAGGAGTCTGTTGTACTGATATTGGACTCTGTTGAAGGACAAACGCAGGAATTTCCTGTGTTTCGGGACCACTGGAATATGGAAATATGTGTCCCTCAGGTCGATAGAAGTTAACCAGTTGCCTGGACGAACGTAACTCTAAAACTGTCTCATGGTGATCATGCGGAAGCGCTTTTCCGCTATGAAGCGGTAAAGTTGAACAGGAACAGATCGTGGATGAGTCTGACACTTCTGGCCTTTTTTGTAACAAGGAAATTGCGGGAATAGAACCCCAAATTCACCTCATCTTTTGGACCCCTCGAGATGGCTTCCTTTGACAGGAGCTCCTTCAATTCTGACTGGAGGGTGAAGAAGTGGTCCGATGAAGTCAGTGTCATTTCCACAATCCTTGAGAATGGAGGGGGATGGGACCGAAATTGAATGGTAAATGGCCTGTATATGATATTGTGTCTTCTAGAGTCCTGGAACTCCACAAGATGCTTTACAACACAATCAATCATTCTCACACACATTCACACCCTGGTGGTGATGAGCTTCATTGTAGCCACAGCTGCCCAGGGGCACACTGACAGAAGCGAGTCTGCCATACATATGCGCTACCGGTCCCTCCAACGACCACCAGCAGGCATACCATACCATACCATGTTTATTTGTAAAGCACATTTAAAAACAGCATGACAGCTGTCCAAAGTGCTGTACTGTAGTAAAAAAGAAGGAAACGTAGGGTTACATTATATAAACCCCGGTTCTTTGATAACAGAGTGAGGTGTTTCACTATGGGAATCGCCCTGGCGTGACCAACTACGGAAGATCCAATGACATCACGTCTGTCCCTGACAGACTGGTTGCGCAGTGCCCAGGCTCCGCTCACCCAGTATATACATGGCCAACCAACCCCTCTTACTCATTCGGATGATTTCTTACCATTAATGCAAGAAGGGAATTGTTGGTGAAACACCTCACTGTTATCAAAGAACCGGGGTTTACATAACGTAACCCTATGTTCTTTTTCTAAATTCGTTCGGTGTTTCACTATGCGAGATATGGCCCACTCCCGGATTGCATATCCATCCCGAAGCGAGCTGCAGCAAAAACTCTGCTTAACCACTAAGCAGATGTTGTGCATCCTGCCTCCAGCACTGAATGCGCCAGTGAAGGTTGAGACACATCCAGCCTGTAAAACCGCACAAAAGTCAGCGGCGTGGCCCAGCTAGCTACTGCACAAATATCCTGGACTGACACCCCACGAAACAGGGCCCAAGATGTAGCCATGCTCCTTGTAGAATGAGCCCTCACCCCCCAGAGGGGGTTCAGCACCCTTACACCTATATGAAAGGCTGATCGCTTCTACAATCCAGTGTGCCAGTCTCTCGCAAGACACAGGTTTGCCTTTATGGGCCATGGCCCAAGAAACAAACAACTGGTCTGATTTTCTGAGACCAGCAGTCCTGTCCATATAAGCCCTTAAAGCTCGAACAGGGCAGAGACAATGAAGTAAATAAGTAAGTAAGTAAGTAAAGTTTATTTATAGAGCGCCTTTCACAGATATAAATCACAAAGCGCTGTACAACATGAGTAAAATCAGGGCAAATACCTCTAACCAATAAAAACATCATAAAAACAATAGCAGTGACAATAGTAACCAAAATCAGGAGTAAAAACAAAGTCAAGGTGTGAACAAGAACAAAGCCATCTTTTAGAATATTTAGCGGGGAAAAGCCTGGATGAAAAGGTGAGTTTTAAGATGTTTTTTGAAGACCTCTACAGATTTCAAGAGACGGAGATTTGAAGGCAGACTGTTCCAAAGTCTGGGGACAATAGACTGAAAGGCCCTGTCCCCTTTGGTTTTTAGTCTGGTTCGAGGAACAGCCAGGAGGTTTTCAGATGTGGATCGGAGGTTCCGTGAAGTGGTGTGTGGGGATAAAAGCTCAGATAGGTAGCTTGGAGCCTGGTTGTTAAGAGCTCTATAGGTCAGCACTAAAACTTTAAACTGAATTCTATATTCTACCGGGAGCCAGTGGAGGGACTGTAAAACTGGGGTGATGTGAGCTCGTCTGCTGGATTTGGTTAGGAGTCTGGCTGCTGCATTTTGGATGGCTTGAAGGCGTGACAGGGAGGTTTTGCTGAGACCAGTAAAAAGAGCGTTGCAGTAGTCTAAGCGTGATGACACAAAGGCATGGATTATTTTTTCCAGATCTGCAGTAGAAACCAGTTTACGGACTTTTGAAATGTTTCTCAGTTGGAAGAAACAAGAGCGGGAGATGGTTTTGACGTGTGAGTCTAAACTTAAAACTGGATCAAAAATAACTCCCAGGTTTCTAATGTTGGCCTTGGCTGATGGGTAAAAGGAGACAATTTCCTGCTCGATTTTTGGTTGAAGTTCCGGGGGTGCAGAGATCAGGGTCTCTGTCTTGTTGGCATTTAGAACAAGAAAGTTGCTGGACAGCCAGTTACTGATCTGGGTCAGGCAGAGTACAAGGGTGGCCAGC